AATAGTTCCTATTGCAAATCCTAGTCTTATCTAAGACATCCCCTGGCATTCTCATTTCTTATCCAAAGCCTGTCAGCTTAGTGGGATTATGAGTTAATGGACAGGGAGAAAGGGGAAATTAAAGACTGCCAAAAACTGCTTTTGGCTTGGCCATTAGACGACACATTCGCTCCGGTTTCCATCCATCTCTTTGGCTGCTTTTTGTCCGCGTTCGGCCAGAGATCGTAATTTGGCTTGAAGCGGACAGAAATCGCTCATAAAACTCAAGTTTAATGTCATGCAAATCGCTCCGTCGGGCGACACAGCGACTTAATGTCGTCTGATGGCTTTATTTCACACATCGAGGCCTGGACTTGTTGACCATTCAGCTACGGGTCTTGGCTTTCCCCCAATTTTAGCTTGGCTAATTCCTAGAGTACGTTAAATGATTCATATTAATAGCCGATAATAAATAGGAAATGCTGTGAATCATTTTAGTGTAAGCTATTTCGGTGTGTTAGTTCCTGGCATTCCACGGGCATAGCTCAGATTAGTTTACTCCTCCTGACTCCGAGGGCCTCTCGTCGATAAACAAATAAAGGTTGTTTGTTTTGCTGCGTAATGGAAATGCTCCAATTGGATCATCATCCGCCCGACGATGACGAAGCCAGTTAACTGGGCGAACTGTGGAGACATTTGCAATTGCAAAGCTCTTAATGATAATTGCTGGCATCGAAGCCAAGCGAAATAGCAGACAGATTAGCGATGATCGCATGCCAGAACTGGATCAGATCGGCCGGGGCATACGGTTACCAAGGGGGGGGTACATATCTTGGCAGATGGCTCCCATCGAAACCCTATCTGTATCAATATCAATTTCGCAGTGATTTGCCAAAAAAATATAAAGACATGCCTGGGCCAATTTAATTTGATTCGATTATGGTTTGCAGGCCTTGAACCCGAATTGGGCCCAATTATCATACCGTTTATATCTTATCAATTTCAGAGTGGGGGGCCAGATAAGAGCAAACAATAACAAACTGCGCACAAATAATGCCAAAGGAATGTGCCCTCGAAATTGCGTTTGAGATAATCTCCGACCTGTCCTGGGGCGTACAAAATACCCACATAGATGTGCTAATCGAGATATCCACCCACAGACTTTCCCACAGCAGCAGCTGCTTTCATTCCGCCGCCACTTGCCAAATTCGGGCAAACACTTTGCCCCCGAAATACCTTGAGATTCGGTACGTTCTGTTGGGCCATCAGATACGGATGCCCATGACGTATACGCCGCAGTGGCAGTGGCAGTAACAGTAACAGCGGGAGAGCGTGCGAGCGAGCGAGTGAGCCAGCGAGCGCTTTCTTCATCCCTCCCGTTCCGCCACCTACGCCGCGGATCTAGCAGCACAGCAGCAGCAGAGCAGAGCGGCTCCGAGCAGCGCTGCCAGCAGCAACAATAACCCAAGCGGCTACGTTATGTGGTGGCCCATAATTCTAACTGAATTCAGTCAGCAGCGAGCCGCGATCGGAGTAGGAACAGCGCGATAAGGAAATTTAATATACTAAATCCGTACAAAATCGTACCCAATCGAACCGAAACAAAAAAGAACCAATAAAAAAGAAGGCAAAGCAAAAACCATTATTGGCCTTAAAGTGCGGAATTGTGCAAAGTTATCAAAATGTTAGTATTGCGTATACGGGGTATAAGATCCCATACTTGCCAGTTTTGTTTACCAGACTGCTGTGTCAGCAAACAGGAGATTGTTTGGAGTTCAATTTAATGCCTGGCATTCCGAGTATCTGCGGTAAACATTGGTGTTCCTGTTAGAGGAGAACCACCGCCATAGCCACACAAAGTGTCAACGAATAGAAGCGATTTATGAGCTTGTCTTGGACCAATATTTTTCTTAAAATAGAGCTTTGTCAGAGAACTCCAGCTCAGCAACTCCCCAACTACAATTCAATTAAATTCTTCTTTGCTTATTTTTCACACCAAAAACTTTATTGCCAATTGGCTCGGCAATTAATTATCGAACGCGAACTTTCAAATTAATTATCACTAAATTAAAAACGGGTTCAGCATTAGCCAAATAAAAAACACACAAAAAAGAGAACCGAATAATATGCCAAAAAGGGGTGGGGGAGAATGTTTGAACACCTTCGCCAGATACCTTTGTGTTTGGCCACAGCCACTCGTGATTCAGAAAATATCTTCTGTATTTTACCCTCCTAATTGAATTCTCGACAAAAATTCGAACCGTTTTGGGCTGAGCCAGCAGGCGAAAACAGGAAAATCTATTTGCAATTTGCATTTATTTATGAAACTTTGGCTTGTCTCAAAAATAAACAAGTTTCATCTTCGTCTTCCTCTCTAGAACAGAGTCAGAATCAGAATCAGCATTATCAACGTATTAAAAACGCCAAAAAACATGAAATAAAGGGGCGCTTCCGAGAGTGATTCTTCGTTCTTCGCTTTTCGTTTGGTGTGTGCGCAAATTTGAATTCGTTGCCGAATCGAAAATACAAAAAACAGAATGGCCAACAAGTGGGGGAAAAGAAACGTTTTTGTTTGGACCGCGGACAGGGTTTTGGGGATCGCGGATCGTGGATCGACAAACTAATCATGGCTGGCGTCATCGCAATATATATAGCGGGGCTAACTGTTAACTGTTTGTCTGTGCACGGCCAGAGAATTTCTGATGAGGAGCAGCCCGTATCCGCGAGATGTACAAATTAATTATCCCGCCCGAAAGAACGGGTTATCATGCCCGCCTTCTCTCCTCATTTGCCTAATTTTTTGGCCGTGTTGCATGGGTCGTATGCGCGATGTGCGGAATTTCGTATATTTAACTGGCTAATTGCTGACAAATTGCAGGCCGCTTATCTAGATTTACTTAGCTTATGATAAGCATCGAGAAAAATATTAATAAATTTGCATTCCTCACTCTCTCCGGTTTAGTTGCTGCTGATAAGCCATTTGAGAAGCCATGACGATCAAGAGCGCCCAGTTAATGGGCCTCCTGGCCCTGCTGATGGGCGTGGTCAGTGCCTTTGATCACACTTTAAAACAGGACTTTCCGGGTCCCTACTGCGCCCTGCGGAACACCTGCTGCAAGGAAAGGCACGATGGCTGCTCGCTGCCCATCTCAAGTGAGTATCATTAGCTTTTTGGAATGTAACAGAGATGTGTCATAGGGATTAGTCATATGTAACAAAAACCCCAATGACTAGATACAAATTTAAATATTTATATTTATTTTCTTGTTATAAAACCTTTGTTTTTTTCTAAATAAAAAAAAATCACCTTAACACTCACCTTGTTTGTCTATTAACAGCCACCCTTTGCTATTGTGATGAGTTCTGTGATCGCAGCGATTCCAGCGACTGCTGTCCCGACTATCGCTCCTTCTGCTTCGGCGAGGCCGATCCCATCCTCTCCTGCGAGCACAACGGCGTCTACTTCTCCAAATTCAACAGCACGTGGGACAACTGCAACGAATGCCGCTGCCTGGACGGCGGTCATGTGCAGTGCGACAGGGATCTCTGCCTGACCGACGATGAGCTCATCAATGGAGTGAACTCCATCCATCGCCTCGGCTGGTCTGCTCGCAAGTATGACGAATGGTGGGGACGCAAGTACGCCGAGGGTCTGCGCCTCCGTCTGGGCACCAAGGAGCCCACATTCCGCGTGAAGGCAATGTCTCGGCTGAGCAACCCCACCGATGGCCTGCCCACCTCCTTTAACTCCGTGGATAAATGGTCTAGCTACATCTCGGAGGTGCCCGACCAGGGCTGGTGCGGCTCCTCCTGGGTGCTGTCCACCACATCGGTGGCCAGCGATCGCTTTGCCATCCAGAGCAAGGGCAAGGAGGCCGTTAAGCTCTCCCCCCAGAACATTCTCTCCTGCGCACGTCGCCAGCAGGGCTGTGAGGGCGGCCATTTGGACGCCGCCTGGCGCTACCTGCACAAGAAGGGCGTGGTCGATGAGGAATGTTACCCGTACACCCAGCACCGTGACACTTGCAAGATCCGTCACAACGGCCGTTCGCTGAGTGCCAATGGCTGCCGCCCCGCCCCCAATGTGGATCGCGACAGCTTGTACACAGTGGGACCCGCCTACAGTCTTAATCGCGAAGGCGACATCATGGCCGAGATCTACCACTCCGGCCCCGTCCAGGCCACCATGCATGTGTACCGCGACTTCTTCGCATACTCGGGCGGCATCTATCGCCGGACGGCCGCCAACCGCGAATCCCCCAAAGGCTTCCACTCGGTCAAGCTGGTCGGCTGGGGAGAGGAGCACAACGGCGACAAGTATTGGGTAAGTGTTTGAAGCAGGACTTAATCGGGATGGATTTATTTATTATAAACCCTTTCTTCCTATTCAAACAGATCGCAGCCAACTCTTGGGGTCCTTGGTGGGGCGAGCGCGGATACTTCCGCATTCTGCGCGGCAGCAATGAGTGCGGCATTGAGGAGTACGTCCTGGCCTCGTGGCCCTACGTCTACAACTACTACAACGTGAAGGCGCCGAAATAGGGCGGAAAATTAGGGCCCATTAGCCGCCTCGCACAGAACAATCTCGAGCTATGTATGCAGTAACGAAAACAGATTTATCTCATGCTTCAAAATTTTCCATTTGCTATATGGCACTCAAAGTGAATTAGGCGCTTCTATCTGTAATGTTTATGCTTAGAACCTAGTGACTAAAATGATTAGCTTTAAGTTGCGCGAACGCACAGTTAACTGCCCGCAGTACCAGGCCACCACCTCCACCTCTCTCTGTCTCACCCACTAACTGGACTCGAAGCAACATGAAACTGCCACATAACCACCTCCACTCCACACCATCCCCGGATACTGCCACACCAGCCAGAGTACGATCACCCCGAACCAGCACCCTTGCAGCGCATGTGATCATTGACGGAATAAAGAGTATTGGATCGGCGAGAGTCTGTTGGATACGTACGAGTGCGCACACTCAGCCGTGCATTGTAAATGGAAGCTAAGTTAACTGATTGATAGACCGATGGAACCTGTTCGGCTTATATATTTTTAATAAACGAATTACTTTACATGTTACCGATGACGGGGTTTTAGGCCACAAATCCGGGTGAATCAGTTTGGTCTTAACTTTAATTGTAATACATCGCGAACCCATTCGATAATCGTATATAAGATTGTATAATTTTTTTTTTGTTTAACAATATTTTCACATTATTTTGTAGGGGAGGTTAAATGTAGTAAAGTAAAAATCTTCCATGAGGGTTATTTACGCGTAGCTATCATACTAGATAAATCAGGAAAATAATCAAGAATGTTTTTACTTTGCACTTACGAATACGAAATTGAAATCAAAAGTAGACAAAACAAAAGTCAGCAAGGCCCACAACTTTCCTAACCATGGAATTTCAATGTTTTTCACACAGGCAATTTGGATACTCCCGCCGAGCAAGGGGTTCGCTCTTCAAGACGTGTCCCATGTGGGTAGATTGGGCTAATTGAGAGTGATGCCCGCAAAGGATACCTCCAGCGTCGAATCATTGGACTCCATTCGACTGCGTATATGTGCCAGTGTGTTCTTATAATGGCTCTCGATTTGCTTGGTCTCCTCGCTCGGCTCCAGATTGGGCAGCTCCTCGTTGACCTTGGCGATTAGCTGAAAATAATAATATCTTTAGACTTTCTGGGTATTTCCTTATTAAAATCTTAATCACCTGATTCAGCATGGCCACGGTGATGAGCGAATTGCCGCGCTCAAAGTAAAACAGATAGTGATTCAGCAGCTCCACATACAGCTGCACCTGCACCCCGGTGTCCAGACACTGCGAGGCAATTCGAGCGCCCTTCTTCAGGCAGTCCAGGGTGCGTTTCTCGTCCCGCATCTCTTCGCCATTTTGCCTATAAAATGATTATTTTTTAAAGAAGAAAGTAAAAGCGATAGCTTAGATATTCCACTTACTTTCCGCTCCAAAAGAGCGCTGCACAGGCCACAACGCCACGACATTGGTCCGGCTTTTTCAGCAACTTGGAGGCGGCCAGTGCACAGTTGGTTCGCAGCGGCTCGGCATTCTCCTCGCCGAAGCAGGACATTTGCTCGAAGGTGGACATTATAAGTGTTATGGCCGCCAGCTGGGCCTTCGAGTCGGAGATCTCGTCCTCGTACAGGGAGAAAGCCTGGGTCATGAACTCGTAAGCCACCGTCTCGTGGTTTGTGTAGCCAATCTCTCCGATTACCAAAGCACCTTGCAGATACAGACGCAACGCCAAGTCAGCCAGATCAGCCTTGGCCAAGGCACTGATGGTGCTGTGGCAATATTGCACGATCTTCTGGCATTTCTTGTCCCAGTTCTCATCCTGCTCGGCGATGGCCTTGTACTTGAAGGACAGCTGGTAGGCGGCAAAAACTAGAGGCGGTAGGACATGCTTCAGCCTTGAGCCACCGCCATTACCGAGATGTTTGCGGGCGGTCTGCAGCATTTTGTACTGCATGTCGGGCTCATCGGAGCGCATCAGATGGATGAACCTAAATGGGGAGTGGGAGTGTTTAATAATACGAAATATTTATCATAAAATAAAGATTAGATTACCTTGCCACCACTCCCTGCTCCTCTGCAAACTCCTCAGCATCTGGACTGCTGCTGCTGCCTCCTGCTGGGTTGTCCTTGTTCGAATCATCGTCCTTGATCAGCGGCGTAATAATGGTCAGCAGGCTATCCGCCTGATCAGCTGTGGGCACCAGCGTCTCATTGTCCAGGATATTCATAACCAGATACAGAGCCAGTGACTTTCGAGAGGTGTAGTCAAACTTTTCCAGCAGCGGGCAGAAGTTGTGCAACTGGATAATGGTCAGTGCATTGTTGTAGAAGTCAATGCAGATTCTCAGAAGGCGGGACAGCTCCTGGTTCACAGACAACAGATGCGAGATGCTGTAAGTTAAATTGGAAAGTTAGAAACTAAACAAATTTGCATCGTTTTCCCACTCACTTGTTCATGTTCATGCGCTGCAGTATTTGCGCGGTTGTGCCCAGCACCTTGTCCACGTAATCCACACGATCGGGGTACACCTTTTGGGCCAGGCTCAATAGAGCAACCTGCAGCGAAATAGTGTCCTCCAAGGGCATATCCATGCGCGTCTGCACAATGTTGGCCACCTGTACGCTAAACACCTCGAACAGCTCCACCTCGGCGGGTATGATAGCATCAATGGCATTGCCACTTGTCTGAAATAGCAGGAGAATAACTATTTGATGGATACAGGGGCTAGTCTGGTCAGGATTACCTTGCCACTGCGCTGATTGTAGGCTGCCAGGCGCTCAATCAGCGATATGATAATGTTCTTCACATTCACCCCGGTCTCCAGTTGGGCGCAGGACTTAAGAAAGGGATCCAGGGTCTGAAGGTGGAACTCGTCGGGAAACACTTGGATAATGCACTCCATGAGATACTCCTGCGCTATGGCATCCCGGCAACTGACCACCTGCTCCAGAATGCCCGGCAAAATGAGGCGCTGGTACGTCTCCAGGGTGGCAGACTCCAGCTGCGACAAACGCACCAGGTTGGTGCCCACTAAAATCTTCAGCTCCTCGCGTTCCTTCTCGCGCCTGGTCTTCTCGCTGGAGTGACCCTGGTGCTGCATCCGCACCCACAGCTTGTTCATCTCGGCAAAGTTGGTCAACACAAAGTCAATGGCGTCGTATACGTTGCCCTCGTGCTCGTTCTCCGCCACCATCACGTCGGGCAGGATGTTGCGGGTGCACTGCAGCAGGTAGTTGCGCAGAAAGAGGCCCCTCAGCGGATGCTGCACTCCGCGGCACATCTCAACCAGATCCTTGAGAATGCTGCGCTTCAGCGTGGCGTCGTTCTTGATGTACACAATGCCCACGGTGATGAGCAGGTACAGGCGGGGCACAATGGTGTGCGAGTACTGGACCAGTTCGTACAGATCCGTCTTCTTGTCGCTCTTCTCGCTGAGGTACAGCTCCAGGTGGCACAGCTCGTTGGTGACGGCCATGTCTGCAATAGAGGAAGGGTTGCAGGTGGAGCTAATAACCCTCCGGATCCATGAATACTCACACAACTCGTAGTAGCTCTTGGGCGAGAGCAGCGAGGTCCGCAGCTCGCTCAGCATCGTGCTGGCACACTTGAGCGAGTCCAGCATGCGCTCCTTGTCCAGGAAGTGATTCATCTGGAAGGCCTGCTTTCGCGCCGCTCCGATCGCCTCGCCGAGCAGCTTTTCCTGGTCATCCAAACCATTCGGCATGGTCTGAAACGAGAGACGGTACACAACATTACTCTCCGACGCCGACATGGAGCGAGTATAAAACGGAGCACACAAGGCCGACAGCTCGAGATAAGCCTTCTTCGCCGGAGGACCAACCGGATAGCAGATGATAAGACGGACAGAGCGAGAAAGAGAGACAGAGAGAGCGGGCGAGCACACCCGCAGCAGACTGCGCCCGTTCCGGCCAAGAGGAGTCTGCAGTCTGTGCGGAGGCGTGGCTGTTGCTGTCGCTGCTGTGGAGTTGGAGTATTTACCCGGATGTCGTGGGCGGAACTGGGCGCCGGGCCGCCGTACGAGGACGAGCTCCAGGGGTACATGGTGGGGGCGTTGCTGCTTCTCTGCGCCGCTCTCTCCTCGTCGTCACAGCGGTTTTCCGTGCAGTTGGTTTCGGCTTTCGCGTCTGTTGGCCACTTTTCGCTTCCCGGCTGCTCTCGGCTACAAGGTGGTCTGGGGGACACTTACCATTTCTGCAGCGTGGGGGCGGAATCGGGAAAGTTAATTATTTGCAATTGAAAAGTCAGGATCAGCGTGACCGCGCCGGACAAATCGAAATATACCTCAAAAATATACTAAAATATACTATTAGATTTGCCAGCAAAACAGTGTGACCGTGTCGGGTAGCCAGCACCGATTCTGGCAATAGTCTGGCAACTTGGCCGCAGTTGGCGGTAATTTTGAAAAACTGATAACTAAATATTTTTATACAATTTAAAAGAAAAACAAAGGAAATTCCATTCCAGAAATAAAAGACTCGGTAGGAAACTTTTGAAATTGAACTTTTCACATTTATTATACACTCATTATACATATAATTTCGGAGCGAGAAATATTGAAACATGCATTCAATTGGCCAGTTCTTACATTAATGGCTGACTTTCGCTTCTCGTTATATAAAGTGTTGTACAATCTGTGCAAATCGAGAGTGTGGATCTATCACTGTCCCATATAGTATGTAGTTAGCGGCTCGAATTCACATTTACTGATGGTTGAGCGAGAATAATACACAGAGTTCTGGATAAAAATGAAATTACAGCTATGTATATATATATATTTTGATCTATTCGATATAGATTTGGTATAATACACATATGTAGGGATGCACGTATAGCTTAGGGTTTCCTTCAATGTTCCGCCGCATGCCCCCGGCTTGATATCTGCCGGAACACCCACTCCATTAAATTCCATTGTGCTGCAATTTTCGGTGATTATAATACTTAATGGACATCTATAATACATTTAATGGACATCTAGATTAGTGTTTAGTGGAATGGGTGGTGTGGTGGACTACTAGTGTTGACATTCATAGTTAAAAATCTCAAAATTTCTTCCCGTCCGACCTCAATATTTGATAGAGCAGGTCGCAAGCACGTACAATAACAAAATGGTTTTGCCTTTGCTCTCGATTTAGTGGACCTTGTGTAAATCACATGTTGAACTAATGTAAAACTAGTAATATAGCCGCAGCCCCAGCGTAAGCCTAGTGTCTCCAGCCTATATCTGATTATATATCTTTGATTAATTTTGAAATGGTCCCGACTAACATGAGAAACCTAGGGCGTGCCAGTTGTGGGTGCACGATGGGCGTGGGCTGGCATATAGATTATAAAAAAATGTGATTAAGGTTAACAATTATGGCCAAATTCTAGGTCGACCAATTAATGAATCCAATAACAATCATATGAACATTAATGTAATTTTAAAATGCAATTCGATTACCTTTACAAATATATATATATAACTACACATATATAATTAACAATAAGTTCCATTCCGAACGTTCAAAAATCAGTACAATTGGTTTCATTTAACTTCTTCGTCTACGAACAAGGGTTAAGGGTAATTTTTCCAAAAATTATTGCTTCTCAATTTGGGTTTAATTTTGTAATTTGTTTTTAATCAGATTTAATCGGAATAATTATAACTAATGGGATGGGGTAATGCGCCCCAGACAGAATCGAGCTTCGAAAATAAACCCAACTCATGCTTACAGGAGAACGAAAACCATAAACGCATAAAATCAATTATAAATAATAGTTTTATATTTAGACAAACTATATACAGTGATTGGGGGCGAGAGTGACTAGCGTAAATTAAGACTAAAATTATACACAATATGTACAGTTGGGAATAGTGCGGTACCCCCGGTAGAAGTCGAGTCTGTTTTTTTTTGTAACTTAGGCAATAGTTGCTATGCTTAGAATCTGCATACTGTTTTTAGGATACTTTTAGGGATTCTCTGCGTAGGGGCTCGCTTAGAGCACATGCAGGTTTTCGCAGCTCTTGGACTTGGAGTCCCGCGTCCAGACGCGTCCCAGCAGGCCCTTGACCTTCAGGCTGGTGGAGGTTCGCGAACCACGATACTTGCGGGGGCTGCAAAAAGCGAAAGTTTTACAGACCATTACAGGCAAGTTTTCTTGGCTGGTGACCCACCTGCTCTGCGCACTGCCTGGCGGCGTGGCCACCGTTTCCCCCAGCGGACCCAGCGGGGTGTTGGCGTTGAGGCAGCCGGCACTCAGGGGCGAACAGGCGCGGCGCTTCGACTTTCTAATCGAACGCTTCCGGAACAGATCCCTGCGGAAATGAAAGAAGTAAGTTAAGATTCAAGCAAAGGGAAAGCTTTAAAGGTTCACCCACCTGGACTTCTCGGGATTCTCCAGCTTCAGGCGTATCTGTGACAAGAGACCCACCAGCAGCTCGTCCACGTTGTGATTTATGCCCACCGAAGTCTCGATGAATTTACAATCGTAGGCGGTGGCCATGGCCTTGCCCTCTGCAAGCAAGGAGATGCGAGTGAGAGGTTAAGTGAAAATGTGTGGAAATTATGGCCAAAGGCATCACAGTCAGGCTTAGCTGGCCGGTCACCCAACACCCCAGTTAATCAAATCAAATGGCCTCGCTTAGTTAACTCTGAGTTGGTCATAAAACTCAACTCGGACTCGGATTTGTATCTAAACACGTTGGTTGACTCTGGCTCGGATTCCCGATCCACCATCCGTCACGTCTGGTCCACAGTTGTGTGAACACAACTCGTAAAATCAGAAGCATCAAAGTTCGCCGTATGCGGAGGTACATCATGCGTGCGACCGACCCTCCTGCTGCAAATTTTATGACGGGCTCACATTTTTATTAACAATGTGACGAAAGCCCTACCATGCCCATGCCCATTTTATTACTGTTTGATAGAGGCTCCTCTCGCCCCTCCCCCTTTCGAGGGCCTTAAAGACTTAAGCTCTTATCCCTCCTGATTCCCCCGTTTGAGGCTAGATCGTAATTAAAAGTCAACAAAACTGCCCAGCATCGGTGCCATATTTACCCCAATTGAATAATTAGTGCGGCACTATGGCGGTGCGCAGACATCATTAAGTATGCCAAACAGTAAAAAGGTGCAAGTGGAAAATGGCAACGAGGGAAAAGCATTAAAATTTCAATAGCTTTTCGGGGAGTTCACGCAATATGCCAACCAAATATGTATGACTCACTCACTTCATCAGAACATCCTCTGACACTGCACGTATTTCTCCCAATCGCTGTGACATTGTATAGATTTATGAAAATATCTTTTAGCCAGACATTTCAGGGCTAAGCGCGCTTTTTATTATTGCCGGAGGCATAAAAAATTCTATAAATACTTTATGAAATTAAGGCGCCGCATTAGGTGGACAGCAAAGCCTACCCGCCTACCCATCAAGTGGGGATTCGAGCTTGGGTTGTGGCGTGTAGACCATGGAGAGAGGGCTCGGCTCTGCTCTGTTTGTAGCAATAGGCTTATGGGCCTTAAACCCACAGCGGAACACATGCCACACGGGACGAAATGTAATCAATTTTGCGCTGAAACAATTTCCCTGCCATTACTCTGGGAGAGCTTGTCGGGTAGGAACCCTTCCAGTGACCCACCTGCCTGCCAGCCTCCCTCTCTGGCACTTTCATTAAAACAAACGTAATTTAACGGAAAATATTGAATTACTTAGATGAAAGCGCCCGAGAGTTACCTTCGCCTTAAAGGGAATCCGATATAAAAGTCAAGTGAAAGTACTTGAGTCGACAAAAAGACCCCGAAATTGGCGACCTTCAATTGGGCAGAATGCGGCTTTCACTCCCACTGTACAGCCTGCCTCTCCCTCTTAAGCGACACTCCAGTCTCCGTTTTGTGTGCCCGGCTATATCTGTTTTTATAGGCCAACCGCCGGATGACTTCCGCTTGGGCAAACTTTTCAGCTGTCCCTGGCCATGGGTCCTGTTCACACACTCAAACTATATCGATATCTATTTTTAACGGACCCAATCGAGCGCACTTTCGAGTGTTAATGAGGGGGGCGTTTATCCCCCCCCGCCACATGATGATATAGTATACCATGTCATTTACCTTCGGAGGTGACCAGCCGGCTCCTGGCCAGGTCCGCCTTGTTTGAAACGAGAATGACTGCCTTCTGGGCGATGTTCTGATTGGTCCAGAGCACCTGCAGCACCTGCTCCGCCACACTGAAGCTGCTCCTGTCCGCGGCCGAATAGATGACGCAGTAACCGTGCGGATCGTAGTTGGTCAGGCACTCATCCGGCTGTGAATGGAGGTGACACCGAGGTGACATTGAGTGAGGTTGAGAGCTGGCCAAGGTGTGGGCTAGTTGATGGCCGTGCATGCTAATGGCATTATGAAATGTCACAGATAGAGTGCAGGACGCCGCACAGATGAGCAGGACACCCCACTCTTCTGTGTGTGCCTGTGCGCCTCAACGTTTGGCTTTCAAAATAAAAGCATTGGCCTTTCGATGGATATGTAAAGGTGTATTCAAAAACAAATACCAAGTCTATACTATGTGGCTTTTAGAAACCCATTAAAATGGGGTCCATAGTACGCGAGTTTTACCTAGAGTTGGCTTTGAAGGCTACTCGTAAAGTAATTTAAAAGCAATTTCTATATATTTCGCATCTATGCGGTGTCCTCATAAATATATTAAAAATTCTATATGAAAAAAGTTTGGGTGATACTTGTAGCCAATAACAAAACATGTTTGGCTTTGACGTTAACGAAGAATAATGGCTTTTGTAACTCAGTAAATTATTTATTAAAAAATATGATAGAAATTTAGGTTTCATTAAAATTGTAGATTATATTTCTTTAATCTAATTCCTGGTTTTATACCCTAACATATCCATCGATTTATTTAAATCAAAACCCAGCCAGAGGTATGTATATCTGTGCTGAGTGGCTTTCATTGTTCCTATGACACTTACCGTCATCTCGGTGTATCCATGGTCGATGAATATCAGCTCGGACTCCTCGCCACTGAGTAATACTGAAACGGCCTTCTCGCCGGACTCATCATCTGTTTGCATTCAAGGAGAAGGACTAGATTAGCACTTGGTTAACACAGAGTGCGCGAGTAGGAAGCTCAAGATCGATAACTTAAATGTCAGGCAATGAAATGATTTACAACATTAAATTTGGAAGTGCGAAAACAAGGGGAAAGTGCAAGTGCATGTAGGGTATGTATGCTGCTGTGTTTGTGTGCATGTAAGTGGGCTATTTACAAGTGTGTCAGGCTGGTGTATCCCTGAGGGATCGGCCTGGAAGGCTTTCCCGGAATGCCGCCCCAAAATGTATGCTAGTTTGTGGTGAATTAAGCTGTCCCCACAGGTATGCAATGCAGACTCGTAGCTGTCGAGGGGGTGAAAGTGGCGTGGAAGTGCTCGGGGCTACTCTTTGTTTCTGTTGGTGAGTGCTCTCTCAATTATTATTCATTTTATGTGTTTTTTTTTGTTTTCTTTTAATTAAAAAACATTCAATAGGAGCTGTTTGTACGAGTATGTATGGCCCCAGCCATTATTTGTAGCTCGTCCCCCGGTAGCAATCGATAAATGCAGCCATCGTCCGAAGCCCGGTGCCTTTGACCAAATCATTAATTAAATTTCATTCATTTGTTTGTGATGTGCATAATCATTTCAATAATATCGAATGGCAGTCCTCAAGGCTGCGCTACGCGGAGGCCCATAAATCACAAGCGAAACAAAGGCCTCCATCGTTTGACAATCGATTGAGGCTATATATCATTACTCATATATGTATATATATGGGGCTATTGGGGGTGTCGACGGGGTGTGTGTATGTGTTCTAATTTCCGGGGCGTATTTGGTGGGCAGGTGTGTTGGGGAGCAGGGGCTGGTCTAGCGTCTAATCGGGCTCAATTGTGAGTCAGGGGGGGGGCTTGGGCTAATGCAGTTGTGGCTTGAGAGATTAAGTGTTTAACTAGTTTGTTGTTTGGTTAAGTTTTTGGAGAGTTGAAAAAGCGTTTCAATTATATGTATAGAAATATTGGATAAATATTAGGGAGTAGCATAGTTAACAAGATAATTATTATTATTATTATTATTAGTATTGTTCAGTGGCTAGTTGCTTTTACCGTCGGCGGCTTTTTCAATTAGAATGCGTATATCACAGTTGCCTAGATCTGATTACGACCACGATTCGGTTACGGATTACGAGTTCGGTTTGGTTGTTGTATGTACAGAGATGTCGGTTGTTAATTCGGTTGTTGTTGTTGGTTGTTGGTTGTTGTTCGAGTTTCGAGTAGGGTCAGTTTGATACATTGAGTTGAATGATTGGTTGATTGACATTCGGAATGGAGAGAAACAGAAAATATTATCACTTCTTCATATATATGTATAAAACGATATGGTACAGTAGCGGATTTCAGAATGAGGTATAGTGTGTGTTGGATAAGCATTTACACGTGGACTCTACTATTTGTTATTGCTAAGGAACGTGGAATCGGTCAACATTGGTATTCTTCCATAATATTCATCCGAGCAGATGACAAATTTTGAAATTATTAAATTTTCCATTCGTTTCAGGGCCAATCGTGCTTGTTTTCTCTCATCTTCTTTCCTTGCCAATAGAAATGTTTACTTGAGTCTTTTCTTGCACCCGTTCTGGCCTGGCCAATTCCATTCGCAAAAAATTCCCAAAATGAGGCGAATTTATTTTCATTGCAGCAGCGTTTGTTATGCTTTATGCCAATATTATGTGTTGACCCATTGGGGGTGGCGATGGCGATGGCGATGGCTCGGCAGACTCATAAAACGCCCAAAGGCCAATGGAACCAAACAGAAGGCAGTACTCAACTCAGAAACAGAAAAAATAAAACTCAAAAAACAAAACAAGCAGCAACCGAAAAATGTAAACTTTCCGAGCACCGGGGATCATAAAAAGCCATGTGATACGGGGGGCAAACAGACGACACAGAGCAACGGAATCAAACTGGAACTAGAACTAAAACCAAATGGATTGAATAACACCGAACGAGCGGGGCAGCGACAACGAATGAGTTATGAAATAATATAAACTGAAAGCCAAAGCACTCGGTCACTGGCAGGACGAGGGGCAGACAGACAAGACGACACAAGGTGAATCAGGGGGGCTATGCAGTGCTCTCGGGTATGGGATTTGGGGCTGAGTTGGACCAGGGGTCCGGGTTACGGGGATCCGGATGCAAGCATCTCCGGCATCAATGTGTGCACACTCACCGATGCTCGTGTCGTAGGCGTGCAGGTACTCCGACGTCATGAACTGTGAGACCAGGGAGCTCTTGCCAACCGCAGGACCACCCAGCATTAGGACCCTGGAAATGCGAGTGAAAATAAGTGGGAGAGAACAATTAGTAAAGGTATTTAGATAAAACACAGTCATTCTCTTCAATTTTATTTCAAGTTTTAATTTAGCTGTCATTTTAACTGATTTATATTTTTTACGTTTTAATGTTTTATTTTATAGATAAGAACATCATTAATAGTTAAGAGCCCAACTCACCTGTAGGGACCATTGCCCGGATTCGAGGTGCTGCTCTCCCTGCTGGAGGCCAGCGAGGTTCGCGCCGAGACGGAGGTGGGCGCGGAGAGCTGCTGCTGTGCCGTAAGGTGCTCGGTACTGGAATTAGAGCTGGCCACGCTGTTGTTAGAACGACTGCGTCGGCTCTTTAGAGAGTCACCGCGGTTGACCACACCCTTGCCGGTGATCGAGAAATGGCGCAGCCTGTAGTACTCCTCCTCCACGCCAGTGTTTGGCATGGAAGCCACTCTGTAACCAAAGGTAGATGGGAGATAAGTAATTGTACGTGTGTTGTGGCCAGGTAAGCGCACCTGGATCTCTGCTGGGGCAGGCACAACTGATTCGGCCTGCCCGAGGCCCTGCTGCCGGGCATCTTCACCGACTGCGAGCGACTGTGATGTGGTGAGCCATAGCTGAAATTGGAGGAAAAGGACATCGTTAGCTGGGTTCTAGAAATTTGAATCCATCATCCGCCCTTTAGCTTTGTCTTCTGGCAGAGTGGAGGAGAGGAAGGAATAGCTGAGATTAACAACTGCAGATGACAGCGGTTTAATGGAGATCCAGATATGTATGTATGGCTTGCACTATTTTGCGTGCAGCACCTGCTGCCAACAGTCCTTGGCCATTGTGAATGCCAAAGGACACGAGTGTGGGTGGGCAGGTGTCCTTGGGGCGCCAAGTTGACCGCAGCAACACAGCCAAGGGAAAATATTGATAATTAAAACGCCCCATTGGTGTAGCCCGACAAATAATGGACATGGCATTTATAACCCGATCTCGTGGGGGGGGAAAACTTTAAATATTTCTCGCAAAACGACAATCAAATGCAGGAACTGCACGGCCACGTGCAAGTCAAAAATGTTTATTTATCCGTTGGATTTTTGGCTGGGACATGTAAACTTTGAGAATCGGAACTCGTCTGAAGTGTATATATGGACACACATATGTAATGGTGCTTGGCAACAGGTCGTATGAGTAATTTGAAAAGTTATGAGCCCTGCTTCATGATGACTCTTCCTTGCTGTTCCCCACAAAGTTTGCTGCAATGCAAAACTCCTGGCAGGTGATGGCTATAAAAACGGTCCTTACTGTTTGTTTCTTTTTTGTTTTTTCTTCGGTTTTGTTTGCTTTGCCCCTTTTGGACATTTAAATTTTGATTGCTTTGGTCCAAGCATTTTTACGAGAGTCTTGAAAATCGATTGGCATTCGTTCAATCGGAAATTAAATCTCAGGCCGGGTCATAAAACGTAATCCATCAAAGGTCAGGGATGCTGGGACACTGGACAAACTTACCGCATCTCAAAGTCGCGCAGCTCCTCGATGGTGAGCGTGTTGGTCACATCCAGCAGCTGCCTCATGTTCTCGTCGCGCTTGTGCTGCGCCTGCTGCTGGTGATGATTGTGGGGGCCATGGTGCTGCGAGTGGCTGCTGTGGGTGCTGGGATGGTGGTGCAGGTGAGTGGGTGCGTGGGCCAGCTGCTGGGAATTACGTTTGCGGGCGACCAGCTCCTTGCCCTGCTCCACGCTGATGAAGTCGCCCTCGTTCTTGATCAGCAGTGTCTCCACAGTGTTGTCCAGACTTAACGAGGGCTAAAAGAAAAAGTAAGCGGAAGGTAAAATTACAAGGAAAAAGGAAAGTGCGAGTGTCGGAAGTATCCGTTGATTGGTAAGCGGATTGCTGCAATTGCAGTTGAGTCGAAACTACTCGGCCGAGGAGGATTCATGGCTCGATGACTTCATTCATTCATTCATTCATTGCCCCTCTCCCCCATGGAAGTATGAATTTGCAGCACAAACACTTGCACCACCCAAGGATTTGCCACCCCTCAAGGGCTTCCACTCCGATTTTGAAAACTTTTGCTTTATCTACACACCTTGAACAGGTGTTCTGACAGCCCCTGAGCCTCTGCATTGCGTGTCTGCAGTTGCAAATTCAAATACATCGCCATTCGTGTCGAGGTAAATTCCCATAAATTTCGCCGTTGCCTTCGGTTAACAACGGGGCAAGGACTATTAGCCAGAACTTTGCTCGCTAACAGCTTATACGCTCTAATGATACTTGTAACGAACTGCGGTCTTAGGGAAATTCCCCAGAAGTATTAACTAAATTCAGGAAGAGGATTATAAATAATTGGGGTATCGAAGTTTCCGACTAAGCAATTAATGTTATTTCGAAAGAAGATTGTTATTTGTAAATAAATTATGCCGTTATAAGGCATATATTTCTCTTGGATATTTGGTTCAATTTTGATTTTATTACGTAGTCAACTTTAGATATTTTTCTATGCCATATTTATTTGAATTCCTAATTTCCAAAATAAACAAATAAGTTTGCTCTCCATTTTATCAACCACAAATGAAAAGCCCGCCAAGCAGAGCTTAAATTTGTCTGTCTGGCGGAAAACAAATGTCTGCCAGCCAGGTTAAATTATCAACAATGTTGGCAGGCCTCTCTACCCGGGCCATAAATTACACAAACACTGGAAAAAGTCTACCTGTACACCCACCATTTGTATGAGCACATATATTTATTCAGCAAAATGCCGAAATTAATTTGTGTATTTTATTGGCAGGCATGACAGTGCGCGGGGAAAATGGGAAAAACTTTGCCTGCATTTCGCACAAACGCTAATTAATAATGTGCCAATGTGTGCGAGAGTGCGTGAGGAGGTCCTAATGAATACTCAACTCGATTTCACAGACGACCCCACCATTTGAATCAAATATTTCAAGTGGCCACCCGGGCAACTTTGTGGCTGATCCGACCCGGGGGAGCAATTCGATGGCGCCGAACGGGGGATGCGACACTTTCACTGATGACGAAACCCGCTGCGAGAAAAGTTTCCCCCAAGAATCCCCTTGCCACCACACGCAATGACGCGTTACACGCGGCGTATGAGTAATATTGCTTTGGACACGCTGCTATGACGCTGCTCTTTTTCATCTCGACTGCCATTTCCCATTTTCCCCATTACACAAACGCCGAAAATAGTTTTTCTTGCATCGCCGAGTGCGTCGGTTCTTTTTTTGTCAGTTTATTTTCAGAAACAGATTGCAATGGAGGGAAAAAACGTAGCCAAGCACATGCCAGAGCTCCCAAAAGAAGAAACAGCGATGGAGAATTGGGAGAGAGAAGTGAACATTTAGCTGAATTGGTTGGCTAACTGGCAAGATAGGGATAATACGAATTTAAAGAAAGTTTTTTACATCTCTTCAAGGAACTACAAATTACTTTAAAAAATATATAGAAAGCAGCTTATTTTTTTGGGGTTTTACCAAAAAGAGCTACAGTTTCCCTCTCTAAATAGTTAATTTCCATTAAAACTTCAAGTTGTATTTATAGTGTTTAAAATATTTCCCTGAATAACAAAAAAAAGTCAAACTGTTCCTGTTTTCTTTGCAGCTTTCATAGGGAATATTCTCCGAGATTCCATTTTGGTGCTGGAAAAACTACGCAGCGCGATTGTATATTCAAACGCATGGGAATGGGCCATTAAAAAGCCAACCGACTCGAGGTGTTAGGAAAATGTTTAGCACTCCCGGAAAAATAATGCTGAGCACTCAAAATCGAGTGAAAGCGAGAAGCAGCCACCCGCCGGGGCAGAATTCAAATGGGATTGTCAAAGGCCTGGCCTACGTGCAGTGGGTCAGGAATCGATTGGAATCAATCATACCGAGTCTGCCCATGGAAATCAGAAACAATGGACCAGCCCGGAATGCAATTAGATTCTGTTTCGTTTAGGGGAAAATGCAAACTGCTAACTGAAAATCCAATCGAATGCAATCGCATCCGAGGTGCCGTTGCTATCTCTCTGCTATGCGGAATGCCCGCATAAATTATAATTGATATTACAGAAGCTGCCAGCACTCATTTCACACCCGATCGATTCGCCTGCCCATCGGTGTTTGCATCGTTTAAAAATACATTTAGTTCGCTAAGTATGTATGGGAATTAATCCAGCACCCGCACCCGCACCCTGCCCCGTGCGAGCGCCATACATGCAAATCACTTTTCATGTTTTTCCTGCATTTTTACGCCGCTCTGTGTTCAATCGCCTGTGAAATCCGGCAAAGGAGCGAGCGGTTCGGGGTGGCGGCCAGGTTTTCTGGCTATTTTCATGCGGCACGAATATTAAAAATAAAAAAGTGTACTCAGAAAACTCGGCAGAAACCTGCTTGGGGGGGGGCCTGCCCAGAGCAGTTTGTTCAAAATTACTGGGGGCAGCCGCTGTTTAAATTGCGATATTCCAAACACAATAATTTTCCCGCCGCACACACACTAATCTTGATGTTGGCGGAATGAAGATGTCTGCGGTTTGATAGACTGCTCTTCCCGGTAGAACAAAGTGCAAAACATCTTGGGCCATTTCTTCTTGTTGGGGGGATTTTTTTTTGGCTAAAAGTGTTCACGTGTCCAACAGCTGAAGGAAAAGTGCAAGGTGCCATGAGCAATGTGCAACATCTTAGGGTCCAGGTCCAGGTCCAGGTAAACAACCCGAAGCCAACTATTCGCGCTGCTTGGAATGGTTTCCGCGATTACTTTTGGTATGTGTGGCATATGCACAATAACAAGAGCGCAGCAGCACAGCACTGGGATATCTATATCGCCTTGTACGTGTTTATTTATAGCAAAGGTTTATTTATGGCTCGGCCGCAGAGAGTGCAGATACAGATGCAAATGCAGCTGCAGTGGCAGCAAATGCAGCAGAGCAGCCTTCGCCAAATCGAATGGGGTCAATGAATCCACCAACAAGGCAGAGGGAACAGCAGGAAAATGGGCCCAGGTGCGGTGGGGCAGTTCATAAATCAACTAATTAATGACACTTTATAAGGCAATTGGCCTCGGGAAAAAGCGGCCTACTGAAGCTGCCCAGAGACACAGTGCCCTCGAAAGGAGGAGCAGCTGCTGGCGGGAGCCCATCCACAGGGGAAAGCGAAATGCGAAATGGTGGGGTATCAAGTGCCTGCCACCGAATTAAGTTGCCGACCTATTGCCCCTTGGCAATTATAATTATCAAGTATACGCCGCGTTGCCTGTAGCCTCCAGCTGGGCAGAGAGTTCAAATCGGGCAATTAGCCTAAGGTGCCTAAGGTTGAGGTGAACCTAATCGAGTCCCTGACCACAACCCTAAACGGGTGAACTCTGGCAAGTGTTTGGGCCATTTGTGCGTTATAATTAGCCACGTTGGATTCTGTGGCCCTGGCCACAGAGAGAGTCAATAGCCGCTTTGGCCATTTATCATCTATCGATGATCGGCAAATTTCCAACTACAAACGAGTGAATGGCCGCCGAGCGCCAAGTGAAAGTGCCAAAATTGTTTTGGGGAAACTGACCTTTGAAGGCTGAACAGCAAACAATGGCAAAATCTGTGATAAAAATAATGGCTAATTAGCTTGTTTAAATCCAAGCAGATTTTGCAGTTCACATTTCATTGAGATTAGATCGTTTAGCATTTACCTTTGAGCAGATTTTCCATTTGCTTTCAAGGGGGCGAGAGGAGGTAAAACCCGGCAAGGACACACTCAGTGTGCCGGATGGACCTTAAGCGCGTTTGGCCACGGTTTATGGCAGCCAAGGCGAGCCGAGAAATGCATTCTCTGGCACATTTGCTTGCAATCAAAGGAAACACCACCCCCCGTGCCGCCTGACCACTCAATGTAAAATCAATAGGAAACAACCGACCGACAATGGGAACAACTGGAAACATGTTTGCGTTTCTGTCGATGTTTACTTAGAAGGTGGAAGCTACGTGGAGCGTGAGGAAGGGGATTAGACAGACCCCAAGGCTGCACTCGGAACGGAGTGCGTGCCTTCTAATAATTCGCAAAAGAAGCGACCAAGGTGAGCAGGCCAGGTGAAAGAAGAAGGTGGGGGGCTCAGGTAGATAAATCGCCCGCCATCGCTGGGGACGCATGCAATTTATGTAGATTTATACGTCTCGATGCCCATACACACGCTCTCCGATTCCGAAAACTTATGGGGCAATCGATCTGCGCGAGAAACAATTACCTACACTTTACACCTGATTGAAGGTTGGGGCATTAAATAAAGGAGGTTGGATGCGCCGCCCACGCTCTCGGTTCTTTGGAAAAAATCTCCACTCCGGACGTCATTTATTGAGGCTTGTTTTTTGGAGGAAAATTAAAATGGTTTGCCGCAAAAAATAATTGTTATTGGAAAAGGGAACCAAAATTAAAGCTAAATGATAATTGATTTTATTATTTTAGAGAAATATTTGAGCTTAACATTTTTTGATAATAATTATGAGCTTAGGCAGGCTTAAATATGTTTGTAAATAGCAAATTGCAGCCTTCAACTGTTTAGAATATATTGAATATTATTTAATAGCCTCCTTGGTTTTAGTTCTCGCAATAAACCATATTTGAAGGAAGATCTTAAGCTTTAAATGAATGAATTTAACTTTCTGTTCATCCCCATTTAACATTTAACACAGAGGAAATTAAACCAAAGTTTCAACGATCAAAGAAAATTGATACGTATCTGCTTTTCTTTCGTTGCGGGAATCGTTTTTGTTTGTGCACCAGGAAATGCCTTTGCAAGGAACATCTATAACCGATCTGTACTTGTATCTGCATCTGTATACGCATCTGTGGCTGAATCTGATTCGGAATATGTACATATAGGCGCCTCTCCTGCTCTTTATGCATCATGGGCAACAGTTCGAAGAATGAAATGAAATGCTAACTCACTGCCGATTACAATGAAATCGTTAAATATACTCGAGCATCTACATATACCGTATACATATATGACAAGTTCCTGCCCCTTAGCACCCCCTTACTGGCGCTGCGGCGGCCTTTGCTTTTATGTTTTTATGATCCGATTTGAGCAAGTAAATAAATAAGGCGAAAACAACCTGCGATCTGGCACTGGACCGCTGCTCGGACTCTATAAACTGGGCAACTGGGCTGTGTGGTAGTTTATTTTGACAGCCTGTCGTCTGCCGGCGGAGATGTATGGAATAATAAAGACTAGCCCCTCCTACCCCACAGTGCATACGATATTCCGCTGTCAGTTGCAACATTTTAATTATTTACGGCAAATTCATTGTGGGCCGGAAAAACTCGTTCACTGGAGCTCGAGTGTGTTGACTGTGGCGCAATATCGTCCACTCACAAGTGGGTGTCGTCCGCCGGCTGATAAGAGGAGACCCACCCGAATTCCGATCTGTCCTGGAGTCAATTCATAACTCCTATCGTCGCCCCCAAGCAGAGCGGAGCAGAGTGGAAAGGACAGAAGGTTTATGGGCAAATTGACGTCACCGGGAGTCGATAAATCTCGCATATCGCTTGTTCAACGGATCAACGGCATCAACTGGGCTGGACTGGTATCTTATCTAACTGTTTCTGGGTGGGTTTATGGATGCCCCCGGCTATTTGTTGGCTCATTAGCAAAATCAATCAAGCGGGCGCGTCAAGGGATTTGTGTGCCTATAACTATGGATAGTTACCTCCTTGTAGCGCTTGGAAAGGCTGCGACAGATGCGCTTGTAGAAGGGCGCCATGATATACTGCGTCACTGGGGATTGATGGACCTTCGGAACGGATTGTGCTTGTCACTTTTGACTGAAGATATATTATCTATCTATCCTTTGGGTTAATTGTTTCTATTGCCTTTTGGGGGGGCAGAGCGTTTACATAGCGAACACAAACAGGTTGGCACTGAACAATAACACAAAGATACAACACTTTGGCTACAGGATGATGTCTGAGTGGATTCTCCGCGATATCGCTGCTTTAATGGCGATGTTTTGCTTTCGGATTGCTCTCGCTAACTGACGCGATCGGCCGACGCGCTCCCCTTTTTATTAGCTGTGAAAATTGCTCGCGAAAGAGAGCGCTCGAGTGGGTGTGTGGGAGGCAGGGAGAGTGACAGTGAAAGTGAGAGCGAGAGCGAGAGAGCGAGGGCTTCACCAAACAAAGAGTAGAGAGCATGGGGATAGTGATAAGGAGCGGTAGGGGGGCCACATAAGGGAGCACAGCGGTTCTGGAGAGATGGACAAAGAGAGCTTCCGTTATCCAGAAGAAGAGGCACGCATATATCAATAGATGCTACCCATAAATCAATAAGGCACGACTCAACCGGCACTTCTAAGGAAGTGTTCTACAAGGAATTAATATCCCCAACAAGGAAGTCTATATATTGTTAGATCTTACAGATACAACATATATATATTTGTAGTACTCACTTGCTGGACCACGATGGTGGCGCGTGGTTGTTTGCAGACGGCAGCTGCCTCCAGGGGATTGGCGGTCACATTGATGGGTCCGCCGCCACTCTGGCTGGTACGATCCTCCGTCTGGATGTAAAAGTGCTCCTCCTTCTGCTGGCGCTGCTTGCTCTTAAAGGAACGCCGGCGGGTCGAGTCCGTGGGACTAACCGCGGACTCGCTGCCCGGACTGGGCATCATATGGTGCAGATTCAGCATGGAGCCGGATCTCGAGCCAGAGCCAGAGCCATGCTTGGGCGGGATCTGCTCGAACTTGCTGGCGATGTCCTCGAACTTGTTCAGCTCGGCGTAGGAGTGATCGCTGGGCGAGGAGGAGGACTTGGCCTGGGGATAGAAGGCGTCCGACTGCGGCACATACTGCTGATTCTCCCGTATGGTCGTGTGGATTACAGAGTCCGGCCGGATGCGTTTTGAGTTCTTGCGCGACGGCGGACGGTCTCGCTCACGGTCCCAGTCACGCTGCTCCTGATAGTGCTGTTGTAGTTGCTCCTGGTGGCTCAGCCGTGAGTACTGCTGGAAGATGTCCGCCCCGGATTTCCTTTCATACACGGAACAGTTCTCCGCCTCGGAATCACTGCTATTACTGGCCGTGGTGGAGCTGGGCGCAAAGCACTCTCGCTGGATGCGCTCGTAGTCCAGTGCCTCCCGGTCAAAGGGGAACATGGTCCCAGGTCCTGTGGCCTCTCTGAGGCAGCGTTCACTGCTGCCACTCGATGAACTGGAGGAGTACTTCCGCTGCTGCTGGGCGGACGGGGAGAGCTGATGGGGCTGCGGCATGTTCTGAGACTGGCGCTGCTTCTGCTTCCCGCCGGAGCCACCAAAGAAGTTGGCCTCCTTCATTGTGGGCGGCGCCGAGCTGACCTTGGCTATGGCCCCCGTGGCGGCTGACGGTGCGGTCCGACGTTTCTCCCGCTTAGGACTCGCCCGGCGACTGTGCGACGGCGACACGCTGGGCGAAATGTGATTGGGATCCCTCTCCCGAGGACGCAGCTTCTTGCTGCGATTGCCCAGGCTGTCGCCACTACGCTCGTCATCTTCCTCGTCTCCTTCGCTGGCAGCCACGGCGCCACTGCCACTCCCTCCACCTCCGGGTCCAACTCCTCCTCCTCTGACTCCGGCTCCAGCTGCTGTCTCCCCACCCACTCCGGCTGCTGTTCCTGTTCCTGTCCTTCCTGCCTCATTACCATAGCTCTTGAAAGGAAAGTGGCTGGCGGACTTCTCGCTGCTGCGCGCCGACTTCGGCGACTGCGGGGGATCAAAGGTGAAGTGCTCCCTGGCCCGGGTGGGCGGTGGAGCCGTGCTGGGCTCTCGCTCCTTTCTCTCCCGCTTCTCCTCGCGCTGGCTGCCGGGCGAGTGACCGCTGCCAGTTGGATGGCGCCGCTGCGAGGAAAGCAGGGGTGTGGTGGAAGTGGGTTCGCCGGTAAGGATGGACAGGCAGGACTCCTGGCTCTGCAAGGAAGTAAGGGAGATGAAGGAGAATGTAAAAATAGCTGGTTGGTTGTTCTCTTAAAACCCAAGTTTCCTGATTGTTATATTTAGGTTTTTCGGAAATCTCAAAAACTTCAAGAAATCTATTACATAAACCGCAGAATAATGGAATATATACTTTAAGAAGTTTAAATTTTTGTTTACTATTCTAATTCCCAGCTTAAATAAGATAAATATCTTTAGTTAACATAATATTCAAGCATTAATACATATTTTAAATCTGCAAAAAATACCTGGAAATGTTTTATAATACTTTGGACAAAATAAATACACTTTACTGAAAAAGTAAAACACTGACACAAATAACAAAGTTTTCCCATTAATTTCCACTCTTCCCAGAACTGAAATTGGTCCAAAGCTGTTCTTGATTTTGATACATGATGACCCTGAATTGCCTGTTATTAAATTCTCAGTTTTTAAGTATTTAAATCGGAATTCAGCCAGAACCGCCCCCGGAGAGCTTGGCAACGCAATCCCAAATATCTGGCTTTAAAAAGCAATAATATACAATTTTAGGACGCCCTTCAGCCTCAGCCTGGGCCACTCCAGGTCCCAATACGCAGTAAATAATCGCATGATTCAGTGCCGGAAGTGGTTGTCGGCCAAGCGGATTTAATCCGGAATTTAATTCCGCTCCCCGTACCTCGGTGCTGTCCTGCAGATTTATATCGGGCCTGGGCGGGTACCTCGAGCAGCTCGTTAGTTCCAGCTCGGTGGCGCCGCGTCCATTGGCAGCTCCCTCGTGCTCCGAATCGATGTGGACGGCGGTGAGCAGCGGCTCCTCCAGCGAACTAAACAGCGGCTCGCTGGGACCCGAGTTGTCACCTGGAAAAAGGTAAAGAAAACCGAAACAACAGAAGGCGCGGGTCAGATTGATTAGTTGATTAATTAATGCGGCCGCGCGAGGACATCAATCAAGCAATCAGGATGCACGGACTTACCCAGGTCCAAGGAGTCGCACGTCTCCGACGTGTCCGTGTGGGTCACATTCGTGATGAGCGTGCAGGCCGAGTCCGTGGACGTGTTGATGTTGGTGTCCGGTATAGAGGCGGACGAGGTGCCCATCACCACCAGCTGGTAGAAAGACAGGAAATCCATTACTTTAGTACAGTAGCAGTCGGATAGGGATTTAAATTCTTTAAGGGAAAAGCTTTCAATCTATAACTTTTTCTATCTTATGGGAAAACCTTACTTCTAGGTCCTTACCTTGGGCACTCCGCCCGCTGTGGTCACATTGTGCATGGAGCTGTGGTATGCACTGGACACCGGATTCAGGGGCAGTCCATTTAGAGGAGACGCCGAGCTTGTCGAGGCATTGATCTTGTTCTTGATGCTCCGTCCGCTCTTAAAATAAAGCCTTCGGAGAGCCGTGGCTGCTGATGAGCCGGACGTACTGAATCCATCATTGTCCGAGCCACTGGAGTTGCTGCCGCCGGAAAAGATGCCCGAAGAGCCATTCAGCTGGGCTGCCGCTCTGCTAGCCGTCGGCGTTGAAGACTTCGATTTGGGTACATTGCAGGGCAAGGAGGTATTGGAAACCCTTCTACTGCCGGGACGCGGCGATTGGGACTGCGATTGGGATACATTCTGGGCTTGGGTCTGGGACTGGGCGGGTGAGGCTGCTCGGGGAGCGGGCGGTGACTTGTTACTTCCATTGCCCGACGGCTGGCCCAGTGCCAAGGCCATCATTGCTGCCGAGCGAGTGCTCGCGTATCCAGCTGGTGGCTTGGACTTGCCAGAACCGGAGATGGTGCTGCTGTTGTGGTTACCCTGTGAGGCATGGGCTAGGGATGCCGTCATGGCTGTCGATTATGAAAAAGAGATGAAAATGGGTTATATTCGAATGCATTCCTTTGAGCTGCGGTTTCCTATTCAAATTGCAAAGTCAAAGCTCTAGTTTTCTGCGAAATATTGAATTAATTTTAAACCACCTTTGGATTATTTCCTAGAAATTCTTGATTGTACTAAACGGCTCGCCTGACTTGGCTGGAATATCGTACCCTATCGCCCCAACCACATTCGCTGGTTAGCTCCTAAATCAACAAATAAAATCAATGAGCTATGGCGTGACACCGGGCACCTCGTCGAACCCCAAAACCTCGTGTTGATTGTATTGGCTTGCGGCTCACATGTTGCGCCATTAAGTGACTCAACCCCCAAGGGGGGTTCTACGCTCCCGCTCAGAAGAGTGGCGTGTCCACTGGGGACTTTCCCTGGCCGCAGACAGGGGAGAGTGAGATTTTCGCACGTAAACAGGGCGAACTTTTCGTGGAAAAACAAAGCACACAATCAAATAGCGCGCTGAGATAATAATCATCAAATAATCGAATTCCATTCCACAATTAATTGTGTGGACGACGGAATATCCCGGTCTTCCTCCTTACTCCCTGCCATTACCCACTCAGTTCTAGTTCCTGTTGTTGTTGATATTTATCCGGGAGAGATTCCCCATAAGCTTAGTCGATGGGCGGCGACACAGTCGGTGACGGAGGTCAGGGAACTCGTAGCAAAAAAAGAGGTCGACTCCGGCAAGACTTTGGCCCAGAATTCGCGCCAAGTTTGACAGGGCCGGAAATTATACGGGCAGGGGGCCATTTGCATGTTGCCATTGTACATTATTTACACAAATGTCGCGAAAAGTATGTCAACTATCAGCCATCAGGCCACAAATCTTATCCTACACACAGAAAAAACGAAAATATGTCCAGAGCCCAAGGCTAGAACATTCGCAAAAGCTTCTCATGATATCTGAATCCCTAGTGGACATATGTTGCTTCATTATTCAGTTTTTCAAAGTGGAATATTTTCCATTTTAGCCTTGGAAATGAATTAAATTTAATAATCTAATAGATTCAGAGCTCTTGAATGTTAACTAAATCATTTCCCAAACAATTAATTACGCTCTTTAAGATATTCTTTGTGTTTGTCTTCCTTAATTATCTGTGTTCCCTTTTTGCTTTCTCCTTGCTGAATATTTGCTTAAGAATGCACTCCCCAAGCTTTAGCTAATGACCAATTTAGTTTCTTGATTAAAGCTTATCCTTTTTCCTTCAGTATACACTTACCTCTGGCTCCTGCTCGACTCCTGGATCCGTCTGCTCCTCCTGCTCCGGTGCTGCTGGCTGTGCTACTGGCTGTTGTGCTGGTGCTGGTGGCGGAAGATGTAGCGGAGGCGGAGACGGAGGCCGGCGGCGATGTTATAGGCCCCGCGAGGGCGGCGTGGGGCGTTGGGCTGCTGGTGTCGCGGAAGATGGGGGAGCCGGGGACATAGCGGTCGGGCTGTAAACAAGTAAAAATAACAAGTAAACTATAGAGTGCTTTCCGCTTAATTACAGCTCAAACAGGGTAGAGTTGCAGTCTAGATAAGGTGTGAGTACTACTCGTACTCGCACTCGCTCGTACATTGTTTGCCGTGTGTCAGGCATCAATCAGAGCGGACAGCTATCGAACTCCACTCGAGTCAGTCAAGTGCCAGCCCTTGAATAGCCCGATTCCGGATTGGCGTCGGGGAATCTCAATAGAAGTCAGCGCCATGAAGCGCTCACACGGGCTGTCAAAAGCCGTACTTTTCACGGGTCTCTGTGCCGCTGTAGCTGTCGCCTTAATGTCAGCAGGACTCTCGAATGGTTTGTCTACGGGTCCTTTTTGACACCTCACCCTAAAATCACTCGGTGGTTCGCTTAGCAGGTCATTTTCCGCTTAACTAAATTAGCTGTTTTATTGCGAAATTAGCATTCTACGACTCATAACTCAGTGGCAATTTAGCGAGAAAAATCAGGTGAATTTGAAATGTTCTTGGCACTCATTTTCCTTCCCGCTTATTTTTCTGACATGGACGCAGACATAGACCCCCATTCGATTCACAGAACTTGGGTGTCTTCGGTTCTATTCTCGTGGCACAATTCGGTGCGGTTCACTTCGCCCTGTTTCGTTGAGTTCAGCTGTCGACGTCACTCGCTTGTGACCGCACTCAGATTTATTGATTGCCTCACAAAAGATGATACAAATCATTTTTCAGAGATCTCCACTCCGAGTGCCTAACTACCCGAGTTCTTTTCCATGAAGATACAGTGGTATTGGGGGTGTTGAAAACAGCCTGAGAGGGCAGCGAACTGATTTGAATTGTGAGTGCTGGAGGCCCGTAGGATGGGGCTATCTTTAGAATAGAATCGTATATTTATGTAAATTTCAAAGGACTTTTGTTATATTTAGGCTAAAAGGTCCATAAGCTGCCTTCTGGTGTCAATAGAGCGAACTGGAGAATGAATTTAAGAAGGGATCTTATTCTTAGAATGAGAATTTTACGAATATATTACTCATACGCCATGATGGCCTACTGTCTTTTTGCTTTAGTGCAGCTGAAAGTTTAAATAGAAAGTGTTAAAAATAGTAAGAACAAGAAAGAAACTAACTTTGGCCAGCCAAAGTTTGTATACCCTTGCAGGTAACAATTAAAATATATCATAACTAAGCCAAAAATACATTAATTTCGATTCGGAAAGCAGTTTTGTGTTAGTTTTTATTAATTTAAAAAAACTGCATACCAAATTTAAAATTTTAAGAAATCAAAATTTTTGGCCATTTTGCTAAGTTTAATGATGTAACCCCTTATGAAATTTCGCAAAAATTACAAAAAAATCGATTTCTTCCGGACATGTCTAGAAAGATGAACATGTTAATGCTGATCAAGAATATATATGGTTTATGGGGTCGGAAATGATTCCTTGACTTAAAAAATATTATTTTGTATTATAAAATTGGATTTTTTATATTAAAAAACTTTTTGATTTTTTTTAAATTAAAAATATCATAACTCGGCCAAAAGAGCATTAATTTTAAATCGGAAAACTGTTCTGTGCAAGATTTTCTACAGTTAATAAATCTGCACACTTTTTCATTTTAAAATTTTGAAAATTCAATTTTTTATCAAAATCAAAAATTTTAATGATGTAACCCCTTATAAAATTTTGCAAAAATGGCCAAAAAATCGATTTCTTTCTGACATATCTAGAAAGATTCCCCTGTTGATGCTGATCAAGAATATATATACTTTATAGGGTCGGAAACGTCTCCTTCACTGCGTTGCAAACTTCTGACTGAAATTATAATACCCTGCAAGGGTATAAAAATTTATAAAAGATTATTAATCCCTAAATAATTTATAAGCTTTCTTCTCCATATAATTCCTTATATAAAAACCGCCTCCCAAGGAATTATAATTATTTACATGAGTAATACAATGACATTCATTAAAATTGTTGAGCCAAGTTACATATAAAATTATTTATAATTATGTAGCCATTTCGCATAAATTTTCTTAACGATGCACTTACAAAATTAAATTTATTTACATGAGTAATCGCTCGATTTTTACAATATCTTGACACCTATCTAGAGCAAATATCTAAGATAAAATCATTTAAATTTTCTTCGCCGAACTGAGACCATTGTGACTGTTCACGATGATATAATATTCTATCTTTCGAATACCGCGAACCGCATCGAAGCGTGCCAAGAAGAGTGATCAATGCGGCCAGAGTTTTATGCAGAACTCATAATGCAGAATCGCAACAAAAATAGAACGCGTTTGGGAGCGAAGGACTGTGATATCGCTTCGCAACAGAGTTGTTGTTGGATCTCAGCCGCCTGCTCAATGCCTTCTGCCGGGGACCGACCGATCTCGAGGGTCGGCCAAAAAGTCTCGTGTCATCAATCCGTTTACACATCTCGGCCAGCAGTGGCCACTGGTCGGTCGTTCGGTCTGGCCATTGACGTCATTGTTATTACACAAAAGGCTGAATCAAATATAGAATTAGTTGTATACGCTATATCTACATATAGCCGGGGCGATACATGTCGAGGACGTTGTCGTGCCACTTGGCAAATAGACAGAAAGTCTGCTGCCAAAATTCTCACTTTAATTCAATTAATTATTGTGTTTTTATAGATGCTTGTGTTTGTTGTTATTGCCAGAGCTAACGCTAGCGGGTGGCTATTAATAAATTCTAAGAAAAGCACAAAAGCGACAACGCGATCATGACGATGATCATCAAAATCAAATTTAAATTCGAAAACAACGCAACGCAACGAAACGAAGCGAAACGAAAGCGAAAGGCAACGTCATGACCTCGTTCAATCCTCTAATATATTAAATCCGTGTATATTGCAGCGCTCGATTGCTATGTGTGCAGCTACTTGGAAAGCTACAACGATACCTCCTGTGTGGACAACCCCAGGGCACTAAAGGTGCTCAACTGCAGCATGAAATACTGCGAGACGGTGCGGATAGAACTGAGGGTGAGTTCTGGAACAGAGGGAAGGTTCCTAGGTACCTTGGAAATACCCAGTTAAGGTTTAAATGATGACTTAACAAAATGCATACTGTTGTTATGTTTCGCAGCTTAAGATTCCCTTTGGAAAATATGATACCTATATTTCAATACTAAATTCAAAGTTATTAAATTTTTTATGCTCTGAACCCTGATATTTAAAGGGGAATATATTACAAAATATTTTTAAAAATGAAACATATTTGACTTTAGCATACATGAGAATTTGTTGCCCCGCACAAGCACCCATCACCATGAGTGTGGGAGCAGTTTGGAGATGGGAAAACTTTCCCCCTGGTCGTAAAACGCCCGTGGAACGTGCCACAAATGTTCCCGAGCGCCGGCAAAACGGGAATTGCGGAGCGTTTAACTCTTCACGTATGCCGGCAACCATCTGCAGGCACACTACCCAGACCCAGTGCCGCAGCGCAGCTGTTGCGGCAACAAAGTAACACATGGAATGCTTGATTTTTATGCATCGCTCAACTTTGTTTGGCTAAATGTTGCCATAGCGAAAGTTTCGCCTCTTTCTGAAATTAGCGACTCTCACGTAAAGGACACGAGCAAACAAAAAAAAAAAAAAGGAAATGGAAGAAGCCATTAAATCGTGCCAGCACTCTACTTCGACTAATTGAATCCAGAGCTGCAGCTCTCGCCCAGCCCACGCGGCGTATGAGCAATGCGAGTGTCAAGGAGTGTAAGGCCTTTAAGAACAGAAGGAATGTTGGTTAATCAAAACTCATGTTCTTAATTAACTCTCAGAACTAATGGGAATACCTGAGTATATTTGCAATTTCGGTATAAGCTAAAATTAAGCGTTGCTTTGGGAGTTATAGTCCAGTTTCCTTTTCATTTATATAATCATTATAAATATTCAATTTTTTCAATTTAAAAAAGAGCTCGTTTTATGTCGAGAGGACTCTGGGCTGCAATCAAATGCAAAAGCCCTGCTTATTTTTCCTGCACGTTTTCCACCGTATTAAGGGACCACTTCTGGCTTTAATTTTCAGCAGTAAGCGGCTCAAATCAAGAGGGCCAAGCTGAAACCAACCAGACGGCGGGCGTAAAATAAGCAAAACCAGCGAAAACAAAGTGCATAAAAAATCCATTACCATAATTTAATGGAAAGCCAAAAAGGCGTATAAAGACCGCCGCATATACAGAGACACCCATCGACACCCATCGACACCCACAAACACACAGCCAGGATCCCATTCTTTTGGCTAGAAGGCTTAGGCCAGCTTACATCCCCCACAAAGTCAACTTTCTAGCCTGTCTTTCCATAGCCAGGATGAGGTTCGAATTTGCAAGTGCCTCATTAGACCAACCGAACTTGCTGATTGAATTTTCGGGGGATCAAAGAAGCTATCGTCCACCTACCCTATCTCAAGGCAACTCTGTATGTTATGCGCACTGCCTGTGCAAACTGCAATGCAATTAAAACTTGGTCCGTCTCCGGGCCGGAACTTCCCTCCACTATGTGTCCCAAGCGTGAACTTTGTTTACGCATTAGCTTTGGGGCCTTAGATTGCTTCGGTGCCGCAACTCTGTACATTAATTACTTTGCCGCTGAAACGGGGCCAAATGCAAATTCGATTCCCGAATCGCGGATGAGAAATGCAAATATGTAGGTCCTTGTGCCGGAGAGAGTTGATAGTGTCGTCAATCAGTTACCAAGATATTAGTAATGTGGACTCTTAATTCCCATTTCTATTTCAGCGCAACCCGAGTAAGGTGGTGTCCTTCTCACGGGGCTGCCAGGACGTACCTGTGGTAAGTCAACTATCTGATATTAATAACCCAAAAGGCCAGTCTGTTAATAATCATTGATATGCTAATTTTAACACTTAATGTCAAGTTATTATTTTCAAAAATTATGCAATTTATATTGATAACGTTTGCCCCTTTAACAGATGCTGTATGGCAACATTCCAGATGAAACCTTTCGCACCTACTACACCTCTTGCCAGCAGGACTTGTGCAATGGCCACAACGGAAGAATTAAGAACTCCACAAGCGGAACGGGAGCCATACACAATGGCATCGTTCCTGGGAAAAATGCAGGCCATATAGTTATATTTTGGCCATACTCTCTACTGATGGCCATAATTTTGCCACTTGTGCAGTAAGAGAGTGGCTGAGATTTCAATAAAGAAATATCTAAATAATAATTTTTGAATCTATATTTTCTAGAAAACTCAACCAATTAATGAGGCAATAATTTCTGAAATCACCACCCCACATCATTGCCCCCATATGATTCTAGACATTTCTAGATTGCCAAGTTCCAGTCGGACAAGTTTAAAGTGAAAAGCCCCAAAGGCAATTACATGGCTATTAGGCTTCGGAATACGTGCTAATTTTTGTGGTTAGAGGCCATTTGCAGGCTTTGACAAACTTTTGCGTGACTCTGATGAAGGATGCAGGATACAGGATACAGCATACAGGATACCGCAGGCTCGCCACGAAGCCGCAACGGTAATTGCAGCGGCCGCCAGGCTTTTAGGCTTCGAATCAAAAGGTCGCCGGGCACTTCCGGCATGTCCACACGCTCAAATGGCCAAGAACGAATATGAATTCCAGCTAATGGCACACTAATGACGCCTATCTAATGGATTCGCTGACATCTTTACGCAATGAAAACGAAAATTCAAGTGCAAATCGGCAAGTGCGAGCAAGTGAAAATGTCTCCAAGGTTGGCCCGAATGCAAGCCCAATCCGTTTATAAATTGGGTAAACAATCAGTCCGGCTGTTTGCTCAGCCCCATTTGAGTTGCACCGAATAAATCGTAGAACTTTTCGAGTCCTTGACTTCCCCTGTGTGTTTGTGTGTGTGTGTGTGTGTAAACATTTGAATTTTTGTTTGCAGAGCTTCACGCATTAAAGTCTCCTCCCTGCCCCCGCCGCCGCCGCCATGTGTAACGCCCGGGAGTTTCCAGTTTCATTTGACACGCTTTTTTGGCGCTCTCATCGTCGCTTTTGGCCAACACGACGGCACAAGGCAAACAGTCAGCAAACAACCAACAAACAGCCGGGACAACAACAAGGATATAGCCTTCTCCTCATCCGCCCACGCCACCGCTGACATGACAAGTGGCCGGTGCCGCCCCCATCGCGTTTCCCGGAAAATTTCATTCCCGGCCAGACATCAAAAATCGAAACTCCACCGGGATCCAAAATGGCAGTTCCATCAGCCGGACATGTGCTCCGGGAAAATTGGATAAAGCGCGGATAGAACAGGACCTTCATAACATTTTCCAATGAATTGGGTCCCTTTTGCTGAGGAAAATAATTCACTTTGAATATTCAATTAGTTGTACTTTCAAGTCGAGTTATTCAAATTATAAAATGTTATCCCAGTGGGACATGTCAATCTGAATAAAAGAAAATAGCTTTTATTAAGAAAACTCGTCGGAATAATTTAAAGAGTTCTCTTAGGCGTCTTGAATACGACACATTTTTTATCATTAAATATTAAAAACAATTGAATGCAATGAATAAAATATTAAAGAGGCCTTTCTGTCATTTGAACTTTACCCTTTTCAAGGGTAAAACCCTCTTTAAAATTAAACAAAAGCAAAACAATCAAAACTCGTAAAAATAACATAATCACAGCACTTTTTGGAAGAAGTTTTCCCCTTCAAAAAGCAAATTAAAATTTTTTACAACGGTCCCAGTGATGAGTACAAAGCATTTATTTATTAAACAAACACACACATTCGCAAGTAATTCATAAAACATGAAAGCTAAACAAACTTTTTCCAAGACGACAAATTCCTGTGACCGAAATTCGGGGCATTCCCTAATTAAAATGTTTTCCAGTCACGTGAAGGCAAGTTGTACAAACAATTATTTGTAATTTTTAAATGAAGACAGCAGTCAGCAGCAGCAGGAATGCAAACGTCAAGGTGGAGGGCACCCGGAGCGAGTGAGGGTACTTAAGAAGCGCCCGGCTTTCGGGCAGGAAGTCATTTTTTCTCGGCAAATATTGACTTGATCCCAATAGCCAGGCAGCGCTGTCGAAGAAGTTGAAAGCATTCCATTCCTCCAGTCAGCTTGAGGTGTGTGCCTCGGCTCCCAAGTGAAATGTGGGCGGTGGAAAGGGGGCGGCAGAAGATACTACGATGCTCACTTGACAGTGGCCACCGCAGCGGACCATAAACAACAGAGGCAGAAGAAAATGGCCAGCGGTTTCGGTACACTTTTATTTCCCATTTGCAGTTAACCGTCATCCCCCACAGAGAGCTGGGGAATATTCTTCGTTTCCCTCTTTGCACAGGGAAAAAGATGTGTGAAAGTTGTAAGGTAAATTAACAAACCAATAAAAAGTAATTAAGTTGTATGTATTATGCATCTGAATTTCAAGGAAATCAGAAAGAACGAAATAATTTCTTTATATAGAATACTCATAATAAAATTCAAACAAAAATTTTTTATAGATTGACTTTCTTTCTGTTGCTTTAATGCTGAAAAAAATGTATAATTTGCAATATAATTTTTATGCATTATTGACATCAAAATTACTAGTTCCTTTACACATTTTCCCTATGTGTAAAACTGTAAAAAAAGGTGTGCACCCTGCACCAATTGTAAATTCAGTCGTCTTGAAATGGGGACGCCGCAAAATGTTGACAGTTCTCGGGGGGATGGGGCCACATTTCTGAGTCAGCGGGTTGTCTGCGCTGATGGCCTGTGGATAGAATGGGAATGGGGTTGGCCTGGCTCGGTTTGGGTTGGGTTCGGTTCGTGGGGAATTGCAAATAGTTCTGTCCGATTGTGATTCCTCCTCGGTCTGGTTATGGCCAATTGCCATTCATCCGACAATGGCTGCCGTCCCGCGCCCGATAATTCCGCCAGTGCGTTGAACTTTTCCGTCTGGACAGCCAGTCTGGCCGACTCCGGGACCGGAGAATGGAAGGGGGACTTGGAAATAATGACACAAAGCGAAAGAAAACTGCGTGCCGGAAACTATGCAACCCTTGTCTGCAAATGGCCGCTGCATTTGTGCGGGTATTTATTTGCCTCTCCGTGCACCTTCTCCGATCCGGGGGATATTGTCCTATAAAATCGTCAATTTATTCCGCCCAAAAAATAAAGGAAGAGGGTGAGAACAATTCACATTCATGATAAGTACCCAGCGCCGTCTATAGATATGCCTCATCAAAAACAAAAATTGAGCATGTGTTATAAAATTCATTTTGACAAAATTCCCAGCAATAATAATACAAATTAAAAAAATTATAAAATCCCCGAAAGGCAACAAGAGAAATAAGATAAAGCAGCCGAAGGCGGAAAAGGCAGAAGTGAAAGTCACTTGATTTATGCCTTTGCGGGGATCTTGGCGAGAAGTGGGCGCCATGAAAACCTGCAAAAGTGGAACACATATTCGGGAAAATGGGCGTGGTAGCCTGCCAAGAGGCACGTCTGCGTCTCCTTGACTTTTTTCCCACAAATTATACAATTTTTGTTTTTTATCCAGCTTCTTCGGTTGTTTTCATTCTGGGCTACAACCAATGAATAAAATATGAGGAAAGTGCTGGGGGTTTCGCCAAGTTTTTGCGGTTTTCTTTGACAAATGGAAACTGTAGTCTAGTAATTAAAATTAAATAAATAAGGGGTCATAATATAATTAAAACAAAGGTGGTTTGTGGGTAGTGAAAAAGCGTCAGTACTGAAAATACGACGAACAAACGGCACAGTAGCGATTACTTGTATACAAAACAATCTGAATAGTGTTACAAAAAACCACGTGACATATCTGCTCCTCAAAGTTCTTAGAAATAGATCGTTTTTTTTTAAACAAAACCAATATTGTAACTTTTAACCCGCCCACTCGTTAAACATTTTGAAGTGTGAAGGATGTTCATCAGAATTATCACAAAAATGGATGGTTTCGCCTGGGCCAACTTGTCTTCGTCTGCTGTAAGGGGCTGTAAAAATAATTGCTTCGCTCACCGATCTTTACAGAAATGATTATTGATGAACACTTTGGCCTATTTTATCAAAATCAAAGCGGACGCGACAACGTCACCATCGCCGCCACTCAATGAAGCGTGAAATGCGGACCGACATCGCGGGCACAGCGCCAGCACACATTAAATCTTGCGAAAGCTCAACCCGCACACCTTTGGACACGGATAGTAGGACCGACGGGATCATCAAGGCAGGGGGTGAGTGGATAGATTTATTTTTTTGGCAAGTGCCAGCGAGCCGATGACGTCAAACGGCGGCAGCCGGCAGACTTTCGGCCGAGACCAATTTGACCAACCTTTTCAATCTGTTTTCATATCATTTTTTAGGCACGCGTAGGTGGCTCTCTCTCACGGGCGACGTCTCCAGGAAATCCCCATGAATCACCCGGGGCAAGGGATTTGCTCCTGAGCCGTTGCGAGGAGACGGGGATTGTGTAAACATAAAAGTCACCGGGGAATTCGCTGTGAAAATGCCAGGAATGCCAAAATATTGATGGAAGCCAAGCCGAGAGGCTTTTAACGTCGCGTGCCAATCGGCCAAGATCCGTTAATGTACTATACATATCTAGTACATATGTATATACGCGGAGCAGGATGTATGAGACTGCGAGTGTAATTCCATAGCTGACAGCGGGCGGCATTATCATCTAGAGGCGACAACAAAGATCTCCCGCTGAATGACCAGACACATTTATTTGTTTACGCTGGCGTGTTGCCTCATCTTGACAATCAATTAATTTCCTCCCCACCCTTGGGAAGACTCCACAAAGGCAAGTGGCGTCGTGCTAATTGTTTTTAATGAAAATAGCTAAAGATTTAATAAGGAAGGCATTGCGAATGGGTTTTAAAAGCCATTTCAATTATGCCATAAGTTTTCCATCAGCCGCAGGAGGAGGGGGAAAAGGAGAGCTGCTGGCAACCACAACGATGACGTCAAGGATTGCAGAACACAGGCCAAGTCCTATGCACATGTATGTTTATATATGGATTTGATCATCTTTGTCCGCGCCAAAGTTCACTGACATTCTCCGGAGACTGTAGCTGCTGCTGCTGCAGTCGACGAAAATAGTTTTTCCCATTTTTAATGAGCTGACAAGAGATGGCTAGCTTTGGCAAATAATACAGAATAGCCGACTTTTACTTGGCATAATTTTAGTTTGCATTTCTATAGAGAGAACATTTGAAGTAATTAAAATTCGGCAAGGCACTTGCAATTATAACTAGAGGCCAATCTCTGCTAACTATTTCACACAAACACACAGCTCAGGCCCATCATCCAGGCAGCCGCCTGTCGACAAATTTGTATTTTCGCGAAAATTTTCACATACAAAACAATAAATACAGAAAAAAAGGAGGTTAACCAATTTGTTCGCTTGCGGCTGCCGAAAGTGACAACGGGAAAACACGGCGGGCTGAATGAGGGGTGCTCTTTACAAATGAGTTTCCGTATTTCATTGAATGCATTTGCAATTGCATTCTTGCTAAAAATATACATTAAACTTGTTCGTTTTTCCCATTTTCACTTTCAGTCGTTCAGTGCTTAAAAACTGAGTCAATGCGATGCGTGGGAGGAAATGCAGATACAGCTACAGATACAGATACATTTGCAGATACAACTGCAGCTGCACTGGCAGCAGCAGAATTTTAATGAACCATAAGAGCCAAAAATAATATTCTCAGACAAGTCAGCCAGCCGCATAAACGCGTCAATTGAAATAGAAATGATGGCGAAAATGACAATTTAAGTCCGTTTATATTTGCGTGGGCCGATGGCCAAATGCAAGGAGTCAATGCGCTCATTAGGCCAACTATCTATTCGCCGACTGAAAGCGAAAGCGATGCGAATGTGAATGCGAAAATCAATCATGGAAACGCCAGCGGAAAGAGTTGACAGTCGGGCAAAAACAAACACAAACACAATCGATTTGGAAGTTCAGGGTCCTTTGCCATCGTCGAAGGTGAGTAAGTTGCTGAACCCACTAAAACGTAGAAACTAAAAACACAACTAAAGTGTCCCTGAAAGTTTGCCAAAATTGTGGCTAATTTGTCAACATGCAGCCAGACAGACAAACAGATTTGTGAATAATTAAAAGGGTTTAATATTGTATTGAAAATATCGAAAATAATGTTGAAATTATCATGAAAATTTGATACCTAGTATCGATATATTGCTATTTTCTGGCATCCCTATTTTTAACGTCTTAAATTTTAATACAAACTTTTCTCTTAAGAGAAACCAACACATTTCACAGGCATTCTTTAAGGATTCAAATACACAAATCTAATTCCCTTGAATAGTAATTTTTCTCCCAGTTTTTTAAACTCTAAAGGGCATACCCTTTAAGTTAAAGATTACTTTCCTTTCTCTGTGTTTTTCAAGCATCCTTATAACTTTCTTCCTACTCTTGACATTTCCCAAGAGCACTTCCACTTTGTTACCTTGAGTTTCCTATCGCTATTCCGGCTTTCAACGAATGCGAATAAGTTCAATAAAAAAAGTGAAATTTTTTCTGTTGCAAATGCAATTTTCCAATAAGACTTAAAGCCTGAGTCCTTTTGAGCAGCTTACTACAGCCGGAACCAACAAAAAAATCGTATAAAACGGGCAGCAATAAATTTGCCAGAAACGCTTCTGTGTTCCAGTCTATTTCTCAATTCAATTAAGACTGCCTCAGTCCTGACTTTTATGCTTGCCAACTTCGTTTGTCGGCACTAAAAGTTGTCGCTGGATTCTGTTAAATTTCATTTGGCAGAGTCGGCGGCGGTCCTAAGTGAGTTATTTTGAATTGAATCAACCGTTGGCCATCCAAAAGTATGCAACATTTATCGGAAATATGAGGTTTGGGGTTGTTTTTCCATAGTGTTACCGCAGGCAGTTCAGCGTAATGCTATCAGATGCCGGCACTTTCACCTATCGCCCGCCAAGGTGTGAAAACCTAGCAATCTACGAAGTGTCAAAATGGATGGCACATTCATTTGACGAGTCATTCTTTCGAAAATTGTCGCAGCGAGCAGAGCTCTGGAAAAGCAAAAAATAACAAATAAAAACTAAATTCCTCTCATTGAGTCGTTGTAGTCCGTGTCGAGCAAATAACTTGGTTTTCGCATCCAGCATCCATCCGCGTGACCGCTTTAGTTCAGATCCGAGTCCAGGCCCCACGTCCATCCCGAACACGAGAATCACACCGCACACTCATCAACGCACAGGGTAAGCAGCAGACTGAAAAGATGGTTACGGAGCCGAAGGCCGTTGTTGCCAAGTCAAGCAGCACCAAGGAGGTGCAGTGCCAGCACTCTGGCCCCGACGAGCCCATTCCGGAAGCAGCACCGGCCATGATAGTCACTCCCAAGAGCGGCCGCGTTGGCATATTCAATGCGGAGGACTTCCTGTCGCGCGCACAGATGAACGACAAGATCAACAACATCCTTCGCTCGCCGACCAAGGCCCCCAATGGAGTTCGTCAGCGCTCCGTCTACACCAACAATCCATCGCCGGTAAGTGGTGTCACTTTGACAGAAAATTTTCACCCCACTCCATTTCATTTCACCTGTCACCCAAATGTCAAATTCTGGGTCTCGTTTTTTTCACGTTTTCAATAATGATTAATTACTCGGATTTCACAAAGGATTATTAAGATCATTATTAATGTATGTAGTTTTTTAACGTAGATTTATGATCGATTTACCTTGTTTTAAGTCTTAATTAAAATCAAGTCTTTTGGCTTTTTATGGAAAGTATCTTTTTAAGAACCCTTTTTTTTCCTCGACTTTTCATCAGCGTGCCCCCATGCGATGCGTGCCCTTGTGGTCCGACCCACTGAGCTCCCGCATGAGCGGCTTGTCCCTAAGCTCTGGCAACATGAGGGGCATGGAGCGGGCCATCGACCGTGTCAGCAGCAGCAGCAGCCTGGGCCACAGCGCCAGCGTGGGCACTAACACCGCAATAATGGCCAAAGAGTGCTCCAGCCAGACTAGCATTAGTGCACGGCCCTTCATGCACATGGGCATGCATCAGGCTCCACAGGCTCCGTATGGCGGCATGCAGCCGCTCGCTGGAAGCTACGATATGGTTCCCATGGAAATGGATGCCGTGAATGTGTCGCGCAATGGCAAGGCCCTGACGGGACGCTACAACTCTAGCTTTGGCTATGATACTGAGGGAGCCTACTGCATGGTAAGTGGCTGATCATCATGTCAACCACGGAGGTTTAATTCCAAAAATCTCAAATTAGCAACCGCAAGGGCCGCACACTCAACAGTTTCCATCGCCAATGCCGCCGCCACCTTATGCCATGGGTCGCGTCAGCACACACAGCTTTGACTTTGACAACAACGCTCCGCCGCCGTGTCCCGGTTCTGGACCGATTGCCATGTCCAATGGCACCATCCAGCTGCGTCTGCGCGAAGGTGTTCGGTGAGTTTTGATACCCGAAAGGGGAGAGCTAACCCAGCTTAGTAAATAACGCTCCTCACAGCATTGATATGACTCTAGACAAGGCTGTGCGCGTGCTCAACCAGCGCAGCATGGTGGCCGTGGCCCTATCGCGCAATTGTAGCAACTCGGCTCTCATCCATCCCAATGGACGCATCCTGCAGAGCGGCTCCAAGGTGGAGATCGTTACCTATGATGGCATGAAGGCCAATAACTATGTGTAAGTTAAGAAACGTGATTTTCCATGATTAATTCTCGACAGAGTATAGTTATTTTGTTTATTTACTTGCTTAAAAAGTATCTCTTATGTTTTCAAAGCTAGCAAAATTTAAACTGAACCTAAAGTGCAACTGAAACCCTCTTCAATACTTTCAGACGCTACGCCAAAATGTGGTACAAGGGAGTCAGCTTCACCAGTGAATCATGCGCCCTCATCTATCTGGTGGACACAGCCGGCACGCGCACCACCACCGACACCTTTACCGACTTGACCAAGGACTATACACTGGCAGTGTTCTACGAGTGAGACCCCCGCACAATGCCCTGATTGCCAAAAATCAATCCAAGTTCCTCTTTCTAATTAACTTTCCGCAGCGATTCGCGCCACGGACCTTCCTTTGTGCCCGATGCCCACGAGGTAATCGCCAATTCATCCTACAACTGCGCCGAGGACGGCACCGAGGTGTACGACATCAATGGATTCCGCATCACGCAGGCGGCCGACGGTCTGGTTAAGGTCACGCGCCAGCACAAATGCCTGATTCGCACCAGTCCAGGCAATGGATCGGCCACTCTAACCACGCCAGGCATCCACTGCACGGCCTCGCTGGGCAAGACCTCGCACCTGTTTGTACGGTGAGTGGCATAACTGATTTCCGACATAGTTTTTTTGCCTAAACCAAAAATTTTCTTTTTCAATTTCAGTCGCAACGAGAAACGCATGCACTTTGACGGATCCTGCTTCATTGTCCGCAATGCCGGCCACTCGGCCGGTTTCAACGAGAACAACCTGCTGATTGTTTACTGAGTGCTGGTCGCCAGCAGAGTGGACCAAACGGCGACCTCCATCATTCCAAAACAGACACCCACCGACACCGACACTTACAATGACTCAACCGTCGTCATGACACCGTCACCCCACTATAACATCACACTCCGGGCCCTCGACGAGGAGAGGAATCAGATCAGGTTAATAGTAAAAAAAATGCATTTAGAAAGAGCTCGAAAAAAGGCGCGTGCAACCGAAAGATCAATAAAATTGGACTCACGGAGGCTAGACCCTCTATCTGCCTTCGTGGGCAGTTCTTCGGTAGCTCGGCGTAGGCGCAACGCAACCATTAGGGAATTAGTTTTCAATTATCTATCACATTAACTCTATCCTCGATAATTTTCCCCCTTTGTACGCATACCTATTTCATAGTGGTAAGTCGGTAGGGTCCCTTGAGCCCTACCGACTACTTGAAACGCTGGCAAGTTCGATCAGTGCCAGCGTTTGGTGTTCCTAACGCGTTTCACTTGCTTTTCGGCCCAAATCCGTCCAAATTGCTTCTTAACGAATTTTAAAATTTTGCATTTTAACCGCAACGTCCTGGAAGAAATCACCCTTCAGGAATAAAAAACTAAAAAATCGAAAGAAACCCCCGCTAATTAGAAATCGATAAAAAAAATTATAAATATCTAAATTGAACTCCATATATGGAGGGTTCAACATAAAAACCCGTGGACGAGTTCATTGGCGTTACGTTCGGACCACGTAACGCCAGTGACAACTCATTTAGTTCTAAGTTTACCAGTTAAGATCAGTTAACCCAGTTACTGAGGTCCAACCGTGTTCATCTTCGTCATGTATCCACAAGTTCACACGACAACCACTGACATCTTCTAATACGCACACGCAGCAAGTGAAACCGTTGTTTTCAGTGTAGAAAAAGCGTCTGAAAAAAATTCAAAGTGTGCATACTAAGTTTGGTAAAGTACACACTATACTATACACACACTATCCTACACAGGCACACTTGGAATTAATTCTAGAAAAGTGAGAAATTGTGGAAATGAAATACGATTTATAATTAGTTAGCTTACGAAAACCATCATACTCGTCCACCAAAGGCACCTTTGCCCAAGACACACGCACACCTCATGACACACTAGCGAGTACTTACTCTTCTGATTAAGTGGTCTAGGGCTCAAAGTTACAACAAAGCACACTCGATTGTGCTCTTAGCCCTACGACAATATAAAAAAAAAACCCAAATCTCAAATAATGTACAACGAAATTTATGTGTACAAAAATCGGTTGAAAAAATGCATAAGTGAGTCAATATTTTCACAAATTGTTTCAATTATGGGAATCTAATTTGTACAAATTTGCGCTGAAGCTGATTCGCAACAGAGGAATATAATTTTCAATGCCTTCCTCGTCTTACTTTATGCCTTCTATCAGCCCAGAGATGTGGCCTCGTAAATGTACAACGAAATTGTTTTATGCCTCAAACCAGCCAGGAGGAGCCATAGCACCTGAAGTACCATACTGCATGTGGTTCCTAGATGAAGATTCCTTGTGGCTTTAAGCTCCCCTAGCATTAATTTCAGGTTTTGAGGTGGGAATTTTCTTAATAAATAAAGGCTTTTGGTTTGTATCCTTAGGAATTTACAACATCTCAGAGTAAAATAATAAAAATAATACTTTTTTTTAAGGCTATATAGAAAGAGTACATTTAGGGGTTTGGTCTTGGTCTTTACCTGCAAACAAATCCAAAAGCACAGGGATATGGGATCGGCAGTCATGCAGACAAAGCTTTCCAACAAACTTAACCTGGAGTTGGTGGGGCTGGAGTAGCGGCTTGGCAGTGGCTGTTGATAGAGATTATTGGGTAATGGTTGGGCGGAACTATATGCCACGTCTGTCTCTGTTATAAGAAGAAAGTTGTTCCATGGTTAGAGCTGCACAGAGAGAGAGTAAGAGCGAGGGTGAGCATAAGCTAGGAGCGGTGAGCGAGTGCGGTAGCCACGGTAAGGATACAGAAGCTGGCAGCACACATTTAAATACTTCTAAAAATGCCTTTATTCTAGTGCGAGTGCTGCGAACCAAAAGCGAAACAAGGACCCGAACCCCGAACTCCGAGCCCTGAACCCTGAACCCTGAACCGAAGTTAACTCGGAGAGGAACAATGGCACCCACTCACATATGGCATATTCAATGCTCACGCTTGCGTGGCTGGGAGGAGAAGGAGGAGGCAGGGATGGATGTATCCGGAGATGGCAACGTCGACCAGCTCGTCGCCATTTGCCTCTCGCACCCGTGCTTGACATCAAACGCTTTTCACACTTAATTGGGCGTAAAATTAAATCAGAATTGATTAAAACACTTGAATGACAGCAGCAGTCGAAGCCTTGGCTACACGGTCCCAACTCCAAAGTCGACCGACCCAGCCGAAAACGTCTAAGCGTAAACAAACTTTTTGGTTTCCATTTTTCCAGCTGACGCATGGCACGTAGCTGCTCTCCCTCTCCCTTGCCCCTGCAAAGTTTTCGTCAGCAAAGTGTCCCCGTTCCCATCCTCAAAGGCGGACTAATTGCTGCCTAGAAACTCCCAGGACCTCTCCTTTTGCTTTAGCAAAGTTTATCAAATTCAATTTCCGGCCAAAGGAAGAGCAGAGTATGGGATTGGGCCACCCAAAGGCAGGGCATCAATTTTTCTGCATTACCGTTTAATGGGCCGTCAATTATGCGAGTCCTGCTCCCTTACACACTTATACATATTCAATCAGGCTTAATTCATGGCCATAAATCGTCGAATGGGTTCATTTCACCTGCATTCCATGACAGCTCTTCTCCATTCGATTCCTGTGCTCTGGCCAAGCGGCGAATCAATTCGATTTCCGGCCAAAAGGGGAGTGCCCTCGTATTGCAACTTCCCCTCGATAATTGCATTTTAACCAGGTTTTCCGACAGATACAGGGAGAGCGAGGCACAGACAAGGGCAATGGATAATACATCCCTACATGCAAATGCTTAACTTAATGGGAAACGAATGGCACCTGGGGGGGAAATGAAAAATTATTGGCATTAACCCCCGGGGAAGAGGAGCTTAAATTTAGCCGGTAAGAGATTACCCCAAAATTCATCAAATTTTAAGCGACTCCATCTGTCATGACGAGGACTTCAAACGGTCCTAACTCCGTTTGGGTGGTAAGTGGCTCCTCCTCCTAAATGGCGATGCGTAAACCGGGCTGTCATCCCCACTGAGGAGGTGACGGCAATCAAATCAATCAGACAGACCCACCAGAGAGGCCACCTGAGTAGAGCACGCAGAATCAAGTGAGTCCTCAATGGATGCTCAACCCCTTTATCCTGACACCGGATCTTACCGGGGCAGAGATGAAAGTGTGTGTGTGCAGCGGGCGAGACGGATTGCGGATGACAAGTTGCAGGTATATATATAGTCATTCAATGCCAAGCTGACAGGGTTGATTGCTGCTTGCGATGTCAAGCCTCAAGGTATAAATTATTTGCAAATAAAATGTACTCGAGGGCAGATTATTGCACTCCAACTAGCTAAAGGCTGGAGGTGACATCAAAAGTAATTAGACTAATTGAAAGTACATCGAAATCTCTGTTTTCAGCTCGACTGCAAGTGTAAAGAGAAGATTTCGGACACTAAGTGAAATTGCACCTCAAAGTTTGCTTATACTCTTAGGTCCACCCCTCCAAGAGACTCTTATTGGCCTTTGGATTAAGGAGTTAAGAGTGTTTATGGTTCAACAAAAGTAAATTACAATTTAAACTGGGTAAATGTTTTGAAACTCTGGCAAAGAGACAACTGGTCCAGCGCAATAACAATTGAAAAGTAACAACAGACGAGCGTCAACATTATTATAATTGTGTGTTTAATTAAGCTGTCGAGTAAATCCTCTTGAACACTCTAATTTGAATTGGCAGGCCAAAAAACAACAAAAGGCCCAAAGAGCCAGAGGGCCAAATATTTTTGTTCTAATCCTGTTGGCCGCGGCCAAATAGGCTTTATAAATTGGTAAGGGATGGAAAGCTACCCTCCAACCACCTCGACTGAAGCCAAGTTTCGGCCTGATGAACGGGGGATACTTGGTAAATAGTCCAATATTTGCCCATAACAGGCAGACCTCATATACAGAGGCTTGATATTAAAGTTTTTGCATGGCTCATGGCCAGAAAATATTCTCTTTCAAACCTTCTATTTGTTTGCCAAACTTGGCAGATGTCACCCGCAATCTGTGGGCACCACTATTGTCTGCCGTGCAGGATCTATGTAAAATATATACAGCGATATGGAGGTGGCTGTCATTGTCAAGGCAACCCTAATTAACTGAATGCCTGTTTCTCGAATCCAATGCATGAGGTCCTCTTTAATGGAGAAGCGAACTCCTCATCGCTTCTCATTAAAATTCATCAGCATATTGTCTGCGCCTCCGATTTTCATGCTGGTTTTTGTCCCTGATTCTGGTGCAGGCTTCTCCCTCCTCCGGCTTTCAACGGACGCTTTTTCAGTTGACGATTTAATTAAGTCTAATGGTAAAATGTTGTTACGCAATTAAGTCTCGGTGTCGTTGTTTTTGAAAATGCCCGTTTTTATTGGGGCCGACTCACGTGCTGACCCTGGGCCAAAAGGAGCCCTGGGTAAAAACCCATTTTGGCCCACATAATGTAAAGTGAATGCAAATCGAATTACAAATAACGAGACAGCAGCACCAAAGTTTCTCAAAACTGTTAACACCTGCCTTAAATGGGATTTGCTGCCATTTGATAGTTTGAATGAAAATCGATGGAGTCCCGTGAATTTAATTGCATTTAAGTCAACGAACATTTACTAATAGTATTGTTTAGCAAATTGTCAATTACGCAGAGCTTTAACTAAGTGATACCATTTGTTCTAGATACATTTTTTAGCAGTTAACATTCATACTTCAGATTCCCTTTAAAGGATACAATCCTGCAGTTTCGGTGGCTTAAGCTTGCGGTGCACTTAAAGGAGAAATGCGGTGTCAGGTGTAAGATACATACATATACATATTATAGCGAGCAGACACCCCTTTTTGGCGGTGGTTACCTGCATGCCGGGGAGCGAGCTTTTGTTCGAACAACAGATTAGCGCGTACTTACATGATGGGCGAGGCCATTGATGTGGTGGCCACTGTCTGCAGCAGCAGCTCCTGTGCCCGATCCTGCGGCTCGGACTTTGCCTGACTTTGAGACAGCGACCGCGGAATTATTCGACGATTCCTGGCAGTAGCTGGTGCACCTGCCGGCGCCTCTGTCTGCGTTGTGGGTGTGGCTTTGGGCGTGGGTGTTGGCAAGGGGCAGGGGAGAGGCCGGCGGGGTGGGTTGTTGTGGAAGTGAGGGGCCCGTTCTGTTGCGTAAACGGGCCAAAGCACTCCGTAGACCCTCCGTAGTGTCTTTGTCGGGCCCCTGTCCAAACGAAATGCATCCGCAGAGCAATCCCCCAGCCTCTCTCGAACCGCCTCCTCTGAGTGCCGTCCGCTCCTGAAGCAGTGCTCCAAGTGGCCAATCCAAATGCCAGTCAATTAACTCGAGGACAACACTTAACTTGAGCCAAGGACATTAGGCTTCCAGCCGCAGTGTTTGCAGTTTCCACCAATAGCCAAAAAGTTGACAAGCTTAAAAGTTGTCTTCGGTTTAGAGCCAATTGTTCTCACTCGATTGTGTTCAAGTTTAATTATTTTTAAATCGAATTTAAGTTGTCCCGTGGTATCCTAGCGATTCTGTAAAAAAAACAAAGGCAGTATTAGATAATTGAAAAAAATGTAATACTTCAATTTGATCTATGGAACTTATTATACTTAAGGCAGAGTTAAAAAAAATAAATAAATAAGTTTTTTTATACTTTTTATGCTATGTAATACATGAATTTGAGACTACGTAAAGTCTGGCATCTTCTGACCTTTTTATTAATAAACAAAAAAGTTTGAAAAATCCCATTAACACATATTCAGCAGTCCAATAGAATCTCCAGGGTATAAGTCAATTTTCCGTTTTCTTTTTTCGACTTCAGTTGAATTAATTTGCTTTAATTTCGCGCTTCACGTTGCCACCTTTCTAAATAAAATGACTGTACATAAATTAGTGTGGCTTTGGGCTTGTTTTGTTTTATTTTATTTTAAGAAGCCTTTGTGTAACCCATCAACCTATATCGAAGAAAATCAATTATCGTGCTGCAATTAACTATTCAATATCATTCCAGGTGGATTATTTTGTATTAGCGATGGAAGTTGATTCTGAACCAGTTGCCCAGAAGTCTGAACAGGCAGATGGAAAGGCAGATAAAAT